ACTTGATGCAAGCCCCACACCCTGTCTCCAGATCTGCTACAATATACTGGTCCTGTGTCTGAGGGAGTTGTTCGAGTTCCACTTCATGCAGACAGACCCCAACTGGTCCAACTTCTTTTATGACCCTGAGCAGCACAAGGTGAGCCCCAGCCTTTCCCTTGCTTGGGGAACATCATCAGTGGGCAGGAGGCTCTGGGGTCCTCAAGAGATTATCCTCCTCCCATCCCCAGCCAGGCAAACCTTCCTGTGTCTCCATCCGCAGGTGGCTCTTCTGGACTTTGGGGCAACACGGGAATATGACAGATCCTTCACTGACCTCTATATTCAGGTAAAGTTGGGAGAGGGGCCTGGCCTTGCCCCATGTTTTTCTGAGGCTAGGACCAGAGGTTGGGGCCTTAGAGGGAGAAGGAATGATTGGGCTTCTGCTTCCCATTTCGGATGATGGGGATCCCAGTGTGGTCTTGAGGCCAGCAGCACAGGCTGTGGCCTCAAGACCAGGGCTTTTGTGGAAGGAGAGTAGCAGGATGAACATGGGGTGTCCAGTTGGGTATTTGGCTCCCTGGGAGCTCAGGAGCATCCTTTCTGTGCTTCTTCACAGATCATTAGGGCTGCTGCTGACAGGGACAGGGAGGCTGTGAAGCAGAAGTCCATAGAGATGAAGTTTCTCACAGGCTATGAGGTCAAGGTGAGTGGTGTTACTGGGGGCTCCATGGAACCTGCTCATGTGGGCACAGCTTCCTGTGGGGTGGATCTAGGTGGGGACATGGACTATTTTTTTCCTTTGAAGCAGAACCTTAGTATATAAAGGGATGAAAACATAGGGTACAGCTTCCCTCCAGGGTCTTCACAAGCTCTGAGCCTTGTTGGACACAGTCTTAAACTCAGGACTTGTGCTCTGCATGAACTTCTCGGGGCAGGCACTCAGAGACTAAGGGCAGTGACTCAGTCAGGTGGGAATGCAGGTTTCTATGAGGGAAGCTGGGATGAGGCCCCGGCCCTTTAAATACGTTCCTTTACCCAGAAGCCACCCTGGGAGCAGCACTTTCCTCAGTGCTGGGAAAGGGGATAGAGATCCAAGTCTGGTCTTGGATTCATGCCTAGTAAGACTGTGACTTCAGCAAGTTAGTGTGGGTGACCCTTATTTCTTTTTTCTGAAAAGTGGAGCTATTTACCTCAAAAGCCCTCAGTGGACAGCAGCTCCCATTTTGTTATTTGTGGTGCTTACCCCACCCACCTTGGGTGGTCTGTGGGCTGTCCCTCTCCCATGCCCTGCTGGCAACTAGTTAGCGTCACATGTGCCCAGTGTGGGGGAGAGCAGAGGCCTGCACTAGGCAGGTGACCTCTGGCTGTGTGCTGGGCTGATGCTGGCAGGCTCATTCAGGCCCATGGACTCTTCTTTCTGGTTAGAACGATTGTCTAAAATCTTTGAACTCAAGTGCCTTCAGTCCGGGCTTATACTCCTTTTTCTGCCACAGACCCCACTACTCCCTTTGGTCTCACCTCAATCCCAGTTGACATTAATGGTTTCCCAGTCTCTGTGGGTTTGAGTTTATGCCTGTTAATCTAGTTAAAAACAACCAGAACCCTCAGTCTTGAATACTAACAGCTTTGATGAGAACTCCGTGCTAGGGCACTGTGGTAGGACCCCCAGGTCTGAGGGATCTTGAGGTTTATCCCTGTTTGCCTTTCTTGTCTTCCCCCAGGCCATGGAAGATGCCCATTTGGATGCCATCCTCATCCTAGGAGAGGCCTTTGCCTCTGATGAGCCCTTTGATTTTGGCACCCAGAGCACCACTGAGAAGATCCACAATCTGATCCCCATCATGCTGAAGCACCGCCTTGTTCCCCCACCTGAGGAGACCTACTCCCTGCACAGGAAGATGGGTGGCTCCTTCCTCATCTGCTCCAAGCTGAAGGCCCGCTTCTCTTGCAAAGCCATGTTTGAAGAGGCCTACAGCAACTACTGCAGGAGGCAGGCCGAGCAGCAGTAGCCAGCTGCTCTGTCATCAGCAGGTGGCCAGCAGATGTGGGTGTGCTGGTGCTCTGCTCTCTCCTCTGCCCGGAGGGAGAGGGTGGGGTGGGTTCTGAGTTGGAGAGGAGGGTGGGGAGCCCACAGTGCTCTAGTGGTTTCCACTGCTGGAGGAGTGGAGGAGAAGTCCAGGAAGGAAAATGAAACCCCACTATTCCATCAGAACCTGCCTGTCATATATTCAGCCCCTGAAATAACTAGGAAAAAAGGCAGTTTTATTTTTTCCCCTTTTTCTAAAGTGAATGTTAACCAGAAAAGAGGGGGTTCTTACTTCCTTCAAATCCCTGCCACTGAAACAAAATGAAAAATGGAAGCAGAGAAGCACTTTTGGAGTGTGTGTGTGTTTCTAGATGAGATTAGTGTTTCTGCTGTTTTTGACTCCAGCCTGTGGTCTGGAGCTGGGAGAAATGCCACTCCGAAGAGTGCTGGTGACTGTAGCCATGTCACCTGGGCCTGCTCTGGTTGGGACATCTGAATGTTTCCAGAGAACTGCTGCCACAAGGGGAGAGCCAGGAGCAGCAGAGGGAGAGAGGCCTGCTGTACCCACTAGGGCCTGAGAGGAGATGCACTGCTGCCACCCGCGCGCCAAAAGGGTCAGCATAGGCTGTTTTTTGTACAAATCTTGTTATCAAATTTCAGTTCAATTAAAAAGAAGTGCTTGTGAAAAGTGCTTTGAGGACTGGACCATTTTCTCTGTGCTTTAAGAACTGGGGGGAATGATGGGGGTCCCCCATCATCACCATGGTGATCCTTTCCCTTTACAGGGTGCTCAGATCAGTGTGCCTCTGGGCCTGCACACCTGTTCCCAGCTAAGGCCCTGGACACCTGCACCAGGAGGGCTCAGCCACATTCAGGGCTAAGGGGAGGTGGTGCCCCGCCCCCACAACCATCCCTGAAGCCACTGTGCACTGCCATGCTGGCAGCTGTGGAAAGATACATACCTACCTGCAGGGCTGGTGCCAGGTCAAATCACAGCAAAACCTGCTTTAGAGATGGGTACAGTTGAGGGACACTCCTGAAAAGTGGCTTCTCCTGGGGGAAATTTGGGATTGACAAGTACTGGACATGCTGGGTTCCAGGACAGGATAAAGAGGTCGGGCTGGTCCCTAGAAGGCCTTCCAATATCACCAGCACCCAGCGGCACCAGCCAGTCCCACATGAGTGCTCATCCTCTTAAAAGGTACAAGTTTTTCTTCAGCACTTCCACAGACCTGGAGCAACCACCATGCAGGGTTCACAGAAGAAGGTCCCCAGCTGGTCCCAGTTTGGTACAGTCTTCTCACTGCAATAACCTGAACAAATAAGGCAAGAGTGTGCTGGGGAAGAAGGGGGAAAATAACAAGTATTTGTTTCTCCAAGAACAACTAAGCAGAACTGCCAGGAGAAAAGTTTTTTTTTTTTAAAGAGAGAGTGAGAGAGAATTTTTTAATTTTTGGCAGACACAACATCTTTGTTTGTATGTGGTGCTGAGGATCGAACCTGGGCAGCACGCATGCCAGGCGAGTGCGCTACCGCTTGAGCCACATCCCCAGCCCAGGAGAAGAGGGTTTTGAAAGGGAAATTAAGTAGTTTTTTGCATCCCAAGTCTGAGAGCCAGCTGAAAACGATAAGATTCTTGGTTAAGATGATAGTGAAAATCACTAAATTGTAGATAATAATCTTGATCCCTGAGCAATGTCTGCTCTGCACCTGGGCACACACTTGTTTTTCTTTTATACCTATTGTGATTTTTTTCAGTATCGACACCAAATGATTCTCCCTGTTCCTGCATTCACACTGAAAGACTCTTTGTATCCCTAACATCCAGTGAAGGGCTGCCCACTGTAACAGTGCAAAAAGTATGTTACTGTTGGTGGTGGTGGTTAACACCAGAATACTAAGCCATAGGCAAACATTCTAAGTATGTCCATGTACTAACTCCTGACACATTTTAGAGGAAAAAATTAAGATTTGGGTTCAGTGACTTGCTGAACATCAGGCACCAAGTGGTGGAACCAGGATTTGGAATAAGACAGTCTGGTCTTATAGCCCATGTTAAGTCCACTCTAAACCAAGGTCTGGCAAACTACAATTCATGGGCCAAGTATGGCCCACTGCATCACTGAAGATTATTGGAACACAGACACTTTGTTAATCATAGCGTCATTTCCGTACTACACTAGCAGAGTTGCTGCAACAAAGACTATACGTAGCCCACAAAGCCAAAAGTATTGACTGTCCCTTTACAGAAAGTCTGCTAACTCCTGTTCTGCTGCCCCTAAAGCACAGCATACATTGTAAGAAGCCAACTTATCAATAACATGTCAATTACATGGGAAACGGAAACAGGGAGGGTTCTCGAGAGTAATGGTTTAGTTGCGGCCAGTTTCAGCTTTCTTTTAGGACAAGCCCCAGCCTTTCCTGTGTGTCCTTAAACTGTTATAACTTACCCAAAGCATGAGGACCCACTCTTGTCCTCTGTGGTTGCTGATTCTCTGCAGCAAGCAGACATGAAATGGAGCTGCTGGCACATTTATACCATCAAGGCCACCACTCAAGCCACCTGCAGGGAGCTTAGCTTTGCAGATGTAGATGGAAGCAACAATATCCAGGAAGTTTTGACTAGAAGAGGGGAGGTGAAAGTTTCAAGGGAAATGAACATTATTCTTATCAGATATAAAAGGACAACTTAGAAAGTTCCAGATTAAACCATGGGGACAAAGTAACCCCATGTCCTTGGAGTGTAAGGAAGAAGTATGGACAAGTGACTAACAGAAAGCAGGGGCAAGTGAGACATCAAGAATCAGGAAGCTTTTTTCTGTTCCTCAGACTTTAAAATGCGTAAAAAAATAAAAATAAAAAAAAAGATAAATACTTCAATTGTAACAGTTCCCTGTTTTATTGCAGTACATCAAAGTCTGGTTAATATTAAGTGATACCAACATAAAATATTCGTGAGAAGTCTTTTGTTAACATTTTTGACTATCCCACCTTAAATATTTCTGTGCAAAAGAATCCACATCATTGTTTGGTAGCAGATAATCTCTTATAAAGTTCCCTAAGACATTGGGGGCATAAAAACAAACAAAAGAAGTGATAAGAGGTGAAAGCAATATCTTTTCCCCTTCCATACACACATATCAGTCAGCATTATATTCTAAACAAAAATGATTACACCTAGGCCATGCAAAACTGTACAATAATATTACAATGAGGAAAAAAAACCTAAGAATTTATAAAATAAATGATATTATCCTATCAAATAAAAAGGCAGGTCATTTTGCTTTCATGAGACATCAAGGTTGATTCGTGGTGGTCAGTCCGCTCTGCAAATGCAGTGGTGGCCTCTTGTGTAATGGTCGTCCTTGGGGTGGTAGAGAAGCAGCTGGCCTGCTGCTGGTGCTGGCGGAAGACAGTGCTCCCCTGAAGCAGGGCCCTCCTTATCCAGCAGGACTCAACAAAGAACTCTGGATTTGAGGAACAATGAAGGTCATAACAAGGAAAGAGGCTTTCAATGAAATGCCATGAAGCTTATCTAATTCAGGGGCTGGGCTTGGGAGAGGTGAGGAAGGAAGTGCCCAATTAATTCCCTGTTGTGCCCAATGGACTTGGGCTATAGCAAAGCGTGACTTACAGCAGGAGCGTCAGGCTGCTCTGAGTGTCTCTCTGTCTGGAGTGAGTGGTGGCCTCTACCAGGCCCACTGAATTGGGAGACTAGTATGTGGTCACTGCCAAGGCTGGCGAATGGCCCTGGGTGTTGGGTCATCTGTCCACCCCCACTCTGGCGTTTCCTTAATGATACCTGAGATTTCAAACGAACCAACTGCTCTTTCTTAGAAATAGATGTGGTCACTAAATAACATAACGATGCTAATCATATGGAAGGAGAGGGAGGCTGAGAGTCAGTGGGGAACGAGATTGTTGCTGTAAACATAACAGGAATTTCATATTCTCCCCTGAAGCCTGGATACAAGAATTGGCTGGAAAATCAAATAGACAGGCCCTTTTTAGTTGTATCTCACAGCCTTAAAGTTGTGCTCCTTGGGAAAGAATGTAAGTCGCTAAGTGTAGGTGTAATAGGTATACATGTGTGTGTGTGTATTTTAATTATGAAAGAAGTGAAATCTGCTTTAGCAATCATTTCACGAGGAAGGCTTTTGTTTTTGGCAAAAGAAATATATATGTATATGTAAAATTTTGTACAGCCAAAAAGCACAGGATAAGATTTGTCAGAACTTAAGGATAAGTAACACACTGGCTGGACATGGATAGCACCAAACACCAACATGTAGACACTATGCAGAAATGCCTCTGAATGCATTGTTTTCTATGGAGAAATTAATTTGCTGCCATACACATTTCTAAGATGTCCTGCATGAAAAAAGGACGATTTCAGATAGCAACAAAATACCTTTCCTGTGATCTTTGTTAATGGACACCTCTGAATGATCTTTGTTTTTCATTTCCTGGAGCCTGTTTCTGGTCTTTTCAGATCATTCTTCTCAGAAGCTTCATATTTAAGGGTGGGATAAGCATACCAGGATGATCATTATCTTGGGAAAATCTCCCCCAAAACTACTACTCCCCTGGCAAAGAACCACTCCACTCAAAGTCCTGACTTTTGAGTCTAAACATATTTAGGACTCCTCGCTCATGGTGCGAGACAATTTATGATTACAGTGGGAAATTCACAGCGCTGTGGTGCAAGCCACTGGTTACCATGAATCAGCTGCCCATCAGTCTGGCAGCTGAGATGAGCTTGTCTTTGGGGGCACTCATTCACTCATTTGCCCTGCTGGGAGGCTAAGGAGTAGTAGGACTGATGGTAGTGGAACCTAAAGTTCAGGTAGGTTTTGATTCTAAAAGCATCCTTTCAAAAATAAGCACATATAGGCAACAAAAACTCACAACTAGTTGTCAAAGCTACAAACTAATTGTTTAGTGAGGGTGAGAAGAGGGGGGGAGCTGGTGGTCATAATTGGCTGGCTAGTTGATTCCTTTTCATGCAAAGTGTCAAGTTTAAGCAGCTACCAGAGTAGTACATAATGGCAATGACCACATTTGGGGTCTGACCCTTGATAATTAGATGAACAGAAGCATTTTTGAGATACTTCTTTTTCCAAAAGCAAAAATAATTTGGAAGTTTAGAACTAAAGCAGTGATTTATGCCCATTCAAAATAAAATATAATCAGACCTGAGCCAGCAGCAAATTTAGAACATTTCAGTATCAAAGCAATTGTTTTAAGCACTTCAATCTAATCCCCCAAAGGATCCCTTCTTTCATTTAATATCAGTAGCCCTTTCTCCATAAAGTAGTGTGCACGTAGAAACAGCACGGCCTGGGCAGCAGGCTGTGGCAGGTTGGCCCAGGTTCTGCTGATGTAAAGTGCCAGGTACCTGTGCTGAGATGGCCACGGCACCCCCAAGTGGCAACTGTAGAATTTTCTTCATTTTAGCTGAATTTTATAGGGAGGAGAAAATTGTTTCTATTTCTCCCAGAAACCTGTGTGAAAAGTAAAAGTGAGGCAGATTTTCTTTGCTTCCATGAGCTATTTTTATTTTTATCTCTTTCTCTACTCATATACTTAAGTGGTGAAATTACTGTGTAGAACTAAATTCTTCTGGTTCTTCATTTCATTTCCTAGTGGCAAGTACAACAGCAGGAATTCAAAAAGAAATGTAACAAAATAACAGCAACTGAGGGAGAATTCAGTGGAAAGGCCTGCGGGGCCAGCTTCCTGCCTGCATACTGGCTTCCTCACTCATTCTTGCCTACACAGGAGAAAGAGTATTTGGTTGAGGTTGAGCAAGTCCTTGCTTTTGAGGTTTCATATTATCTGTAAGTCTTTTTTCCCAGGCTTACCTAAGGACTCTGTCACCCACCCTCAACAAGTCTCCTCCTTCGAAAGCCATTTCCATACCTGGGCCAGACTACCTCACCATACCCTTAGGAGGAACTGGATTTGCCCAAGAAACACAGCACTTCTATGAACTTTTTAATGGACTTTCAAAACCCATGAAGTTCCTGTGCCCTTCCAGATGGAAGGAATCACATGGTAACAGAATCATATTACTACATTCATCTGCAGCAAATAGCAAAATATAGTAAGAAGTGAGAAGTATGGTTCACACTATTGCTAGAAAAAGAAGTGTTTTGGGTAGAGGTGAGTGTTTTTTTTTGAAACTGAGTGGCTTTAAATGTTAAAACACTGGTGCCCAGGTTGTACTATAAACCAACAAAGCCAGAGTCTCCAAATGTTCCCTAGAAGCTCCCAAGGTGGCCACAGCCTGTCACTGGTCTTGAGGACAGGGCACCACAAGGATGGGGATTTCTCCACTCTCCCTCCACAAATGTCAGCTTGAGGCCTTTCTACCCTGTACATGACTTAGCTGGGAAACAGACAAAAAACAACACATTGCTTTAAATTAAATGATCTCTTTCTCTCATATATGCATCCATCTTTCATTGAATACAAGATGCTTCTTTTGACTATGTACATTCAGTATTTAACTTCTACATTTATGTATTTATTTAAACTCTGTATTGTAGTAAAATATGCATTGTTTTAATCTGTGAGGATTTCCTGGCAACAACTGGACTGACACTGGCTTGCTCAGCAATCTTTCCAAGGACACCGTCCCTCCGGCGCACAGAATCCCATGTATTATCTGAGGCTACATTGAGGAGCTATTGTGAAAACGAGATCTGTCTAATCTTACTCTTATCACTTATATTTGTGTAGTCTACTGCAGCTACCTTTTGGGAAGGGGTGAAATGTTACTGAAAGCAACTCTAAGTGTATGGAATGAATCGACATTGACCTCAGCTGCTTGCTGAAGCCTGCCTGTTGTGGCTGTTAGGTAAGGGAGCATGATCTGCCAGGTGTGTCTTCAGAACTGCCGAGTCCCTACCCTGCTACTGCTGCCAGCTCCTGGTGGTTTCCAGGCTGAGGTGGAGGGAGGAGATGCAAGTGAGGGAAGAGGCAGTAGGGGGTGCTGGGGTGAGGGCCACCCTGGGCTCACGGGTCCCAGCTCCCACGGTCGGTGCTCTCCAGAGAGAGGCTCTTGGTCTTTCGGGGTGAAACTGGGCTTGGGGGGCTGCTCAGGTTGGAACTGTTGGAAGCTGTGGAATGCCTTGGAGAATCAGAGTCCTATAAGGATCAAAGTAAAGAAAGGTAAATGGATGGATCTGGAGACTATCATGCTAAATTGAAATAAGCCAATCCCAAAAAACCAAAGGTCAAATGTCCTGATATGTGAATGCTAAGACACAACAAGGGTGAGGGGAATAGAAAAGACAGTGGGAATGAATAGGACATAACTTTCGTATGTTCATATATGAGTAACACCAGTGAAACTCATCAAACAACTTCAAGAATGGGATCCTAATTAGAATGTTATACACTCTACTGTCATGAATATCGAAAAAGAAATATAGGCATTTTCATTCAAAAGTCATTAGAAGTGAATAGATCTAGGAAAACTGCAGTTTGCAGCTCAAGCGATGGGCTCTGCTGGCCCTGGCTAGGAGTGAATGCTGGCCCCTACTGCAGCGAAGGCCAGGCTTAAAGTGGTAGGATTAATTGGGTACATGCACTCGTTCTTTGATACACAATGGTCCCAACTCCCATCTCTAGGTGTAGCATACACTCATGTTCCACTCACCTCTCCGTCATAATCCCTTGCTGGGGCATCGCTTCCTTGGTCCATACCTCCAGAAGACAAAGAGCCCTCTGATGGGGAAGGCATGGGCTGCCGCTTTGAATTGTAGCTTCCTCCAGAGAATTCCCTCTTCAATGCGCTGCCATTCTGTGCAGATGACCCTGTAGGACACCATTCCGGAAAAACGTTACTGTTGATAAGGCTGGCTTTGAACTTGTGATCCTCATGCCTCAGCCTCCCAAGCTGCTGGGAATATAGGCATACACTAACATGCCCATCAAGAACTCTCATTTTTTAAAAAAAACAAACCAAACAGAAACATAAAAGTAGGGCAGCATGTCTGAGATATCAAAATGAGGTTGAGTTTCTTCAAAATTATACTCTATTTTGATCTTGGAGTTGGGGTATGTAATGAAGACAAACTGCATTCACAGGAAGGGAAGACAAGAAAACAATCTTTAGAAATTTGGGGATTATTGTTATATCTAAAGCTCTTAACATTCTCTGTATTCTGTAGTTTTTGCTTAAAAATGTTTTATCTTGCTGAGCTTCACTATTAGAACCATTGGTCAAAAAAAGACTACTGAAATTTTAGTGCAAATGTAAGATATAGATTGTGACTGAGCTTTTTGCTGATTTAACATCTATTTTCAGATTAAAAATTCATTAAAACTGCCAATGAGTGACCATTTAAAACAGTTATTTAATGACCACCAAACTTCAGAAGAGTCCATGGAACAGAGCCTGCTTGGTGCACTCTCCTTGCCAACTCCCCTCAGGCCTCCTCCTTTCCTGCTTCCCTCCTAAGCCCTTTGGTGGGGACTTCGGAGACAGGCTCGCATTTCTTGATATAACTGACTTCTTGCAGGGGCCACCAACACTGATTGTAAACTGTAGGTTATATTATGGCACTTTAAAAATATGCATGTCTGGGTCCTGTCCCAGATCAATTAAACTGAGTAGAACTTCTAATTAAACTTTTAAAAGCTTCCCTGATGATCCAAGACCACATCTCAGACTGGGAACCACTGACTCACTCTCACTCCCTCACACGCTTTCCTTTTCACCCAGCTCCTAGACACCTTGTCACTACAAGGGCACAGGTTTTCATTTGGTGGTTTGCTTCTTTGGAAATGTACTCTTCAGTTTTTGATGTTTTTTGTTTTATCTTTTATTTCCTCAGAGTATAACCTAAATGAAGGCATTTTTAAATTTTTTTCTTCCAATTCCATACCTAGCTGAGTGCTCAATTTAACAAAAATTATAATATATAAAAAATCTTGTTTTTGTCATTCTAAATAGAAAATCCAAACTGCTAGAGAATTTTATGGCTCTCTTCACTAATTGTATGACCTCAAGTGAGTTGTTTTACTTTTTTTTATATATTAATTTTTTAGTTGTAGGTGGACATAATATCTTTATTTCATTTTTATGTGGTGCTTGCTTGGGTTTGAACCCAGTGCCTCACGTGTGCTAGGTGAGCACTCTACCACTGAGCGACAACCCTAGCCCCTTGTTTTACCTTTTCTGAGTCTCAATTTTCTTCATTTGTAAGAAAGAAAATAAATCCTATCTGTGGGAACAAGTGGGTGCTTACTCCATGGAGAACACCATGCATGCCAGGTGCCTTCTATTTCCTGGTGACCACTTACATAAGAGAGAACTTCAGCCCACCTCTGTCATTTATATGTATTTATTTTACATTTAAGCTTTGTGAATTTTTCAAAGGAAGGTTACATTTACTTACTGTTAATCTTAAAAAACAAACAAACAAACAAACAAACAAACCAGGTTGTTTTAATAGCAAAAGGGGCCTGGGTCTGGAAATCATGGTCCTGGCCTCTATGCTAGAGTTTGATGATAATTCTGGGGGTGGGACAGGGGCTTGGCCCTGAATTTCCTGGGAATGAGAGACATCCAAATTCTGCATGACCTCTGGGAAACTCCAAGAGGCTCCTCTGTGAGCCTGCCACAGATGGGTGCGTCTTAATCCTTGGGGAGTCTGGGATAAGTCACAGTAGAAACCACTGTTGAAGTCTGGCTGCACCTCAGGAAGCATTGCTGGGCTTGGCTGTGGAAGACCCTGTGCTTCCTGTTAAGATTAATAACAGAATTCCCTTGTATCTTCTTGTCTCTCTCTGGGCTGGCTGTCCTGGAAATGTTTTATACAAGCTGGGCTATTCCTGAAACCAGTAGGAGGTACTCTAAATAGCAGATGCCCCTTTGAGATTCCCGAGATAACCTTTCTTCCCATGTCCAAAAATAATTTAGGACAGGGATTACAAAAAGGCTGAGCTTGATTAAAGCATTAGAAAATAACAGGATGTAAGGCCAACTCCAGTCTGCAGTTTGCATATTGTCAACAGTGATGTGGGACCCTCACTAAAGCCTTCTAAGGATATCTCTGTGTTATAAATCCTATCTTTACAGGCAATACCACAAATTCAAAAGCAGTGAAACATCAAAAGTTTTTTTGTTAAGTCTGATGCAAACCCATGTGATGGCAAAACTTCACCTGAACTGACTGGTGGCTAACTGTAGGCTTTATTACAAAGACTACATTTATTATATAGTTATAGTGTGAATATTTATGATTTTTGCTATATAACCCTTAGTGTGTTTGTGAGTAGTGTCCCAGATCTTGTCAGGAATGTAACACAAGGGAGATTTCTCAGGCTGCCCTCTAAGCCAATGCAATGCTACTGGGTGAGTGCACATCTGAGAAAGTTACAGGCTCTCTGGGCTGGGGTGTGGCTCAGCAGTAGAGCACTCGCCTAGCACGTGCGAGGCCCTGGGTTCGATCCTCAGCACCGCATAAAAATAAACAAACAAAATACAGGAATTCTGTACAACTAAAAAAAAAAAAAAAAAAAAAGTTAAAGGCTAGCAACCCCAGGGCCAAGACTGATCTTCCCCAAACCAGAAGCTACAGTGATCATTTCACAGTCCATAACCTTACTGCTTAGGTCCAGAAACTACTAAAGAGCACAATGATCTGTACACTCCTCCTGTTCTAATGTGAGCAGTAGTTAGCATCCTTGTATACTTTTGCTCAGACAGATGACATTTTTTCTTAGTTACAATTTCCTTTCCTCATCCATCAAAAAGTTGTTTTTGAATAATAGGTGAACTTAAGTCCACCATGGAGACAGATTTCTTTCTCTTTATGTTCCCTTAGCTCAGGATTCTGTATAAAGGTATAGAAGAGAGATGCTGCAGGTCAGGGTAGAGTGGAAAAAAGACAAACTAGCTTAACATGGTGGCTTATGCCCATAATCTCAGCAACACAGGAGACTAAGGCAAAAGAATTGCAAGTTCAAGGCTGGTCTCTGCAACCCAGTGAGATCTTTTCTCAAAATAAAAACCAAAAAAGGGCTGGGGATGTAACTCAGTAGTAGAGCATCCCAGGATTCAGTCCCCAGTACCACCCCCATACACAAAGACTGATAAGAAAAACTGTGAGCCACTTGAAAGAAAGTACTAGGTTGTACATGATTCTTACCCTACCAGGTTAACAAGAATTGGTATCTTAAAGATGTTTCTTTAATCTATTTCCAGACTTCATTTAGTTAATAAAACATACTCATCTTTTCCCTATGCAGTGATCTTTGTACATCCTGACCCAGCCCCCTTCAAACCTTGCTAGTGGGAGTCACTGGTATCATCCTATGGCTACCGCAGGAATCTGGGGGCCATCTTTACTATTATTTCTCCTTTACTTTCTCACAACTTAATCATCATCAAGTCTTATTGCTTCTACCTCTGAAAATGTGTCTGGAAAATTCATTTCCTTCTCTTCATTCTCTGTTCTCTAAAACAGCAGTACTCTAAAATTGCTCAGATTCCATGTGGACCACTCTAAGAACCTGCTATCTGGTTGCTGGTTTCCACTCTTGCCTGCTTTGAATCTCTTCTCCTCTTGGTAATCAGAGTCACTGTTAGAAATGTAAACTACATGAAGTTTCTTCCATACTTATAATTCTCCAAAGGCTTCCCATTTCATTTTGTAAGTTAAGATAAAACATTTCTTACCACAGTCTCCAAGGCTGCCAATCTGGCATTTGTCCATTTCTCTCCCCCTCTATTTTTGTCACTCCCCATACTACCATATAGCTGCACTGGCCTTGTTTTTCAGTAATTAACATTACTTAAACATGACCCAGCTTTAGCAAGTGATGTGATTTTTCCTAATTATCCTAAGTATGAATTCCTCCCTGATAGCTATACCTTGTTACTCTCTATTACTGTGCCTTTTATTTTCTGCAGAGTTACCACCGTAATTTGTAGTCCTATTTGTCTGTCTCCCAGATGGCCTGCACATTCTAGAAGGACTCCAGGACTATTTTTTTTAACAACTGCATTTGTGCCTACTAAGCATTAAGTAATGTCTCAGGATCTGAGACATTGTTACAACTGTAGAACACACTGGGCATGAGAAAGTGAGAGCATGTCACTTGTGGTAATGATAGGACAGGAGGCAGCCCAAAAGCTACCTGGCCATAGAGCATTTGCCCATAGCCTGATCCACTTACTTGCTGACAGGCCGCTGCTAGCACTCATGGACCGACCTGGCTCAGGGCGGGATTTGGTGATTGATGGAATACTGACTGAGCCACTGAATACTGTTCGGCTTTCCTGAGGACGAGGGTTCTGAAAATAAAACAAAGGTATATTCTTCAGCCAGAAAGAAACATTTTCTGCAGAAATGTATACTTTTCAATATAGTTATCAAGAAATAAAAATATCTTGACCAGAATGATACAGAGTAAGATACAGCAGATTCCATAATCCCTCCCACCCACAAAAGTAATTAAATATAATATGACATAAATTTCATCCCAATCAGGTAAAAGTACTTATGCATATTGAAATACTTATTAATAAATAATTTTTTGGGTTGTGAAAATGGTAAGTAAATGTTATATGGTTAAACATGACAGTGAAGTATAGAATTACATGGACATTTGCAGATAAAGAGATTTTTATTTGCTTAGGAACACCAAATAAATAAATCCATTTGGAGGAAATCAATTAAAATTACAATTTTGTCAAGAAAATGCTCTATATTTTTTAACCTTTATTTTATTTATTTATATTTATGTGGTGCTGAGGATCGAACCCAGTGCCTCACACATGCTAGGCAAGCGCTCTACTACTGACCTACAACCCCAGCTTCAAAATGCTGTGTTAACCTGAGACTGAATGTGCCATTCACATGTTCACACTCCAAGTCACCTCTATTCTCTGAGTCAGAAAGATGATGAAAGAAAGAAAGAAAGATTGATGAATGATAATATAACAACCTGGTGAGACTCTGTAGCTATGGAATGTCAGTGTGAATAACTCCCTGTTGGCCCCAACCCTTTCAAACTAGAAGGAAAGAATGCTGGGGCTGACCAAAGGCCAGAAGATGGGAAAATATTTCAATATCCTTCACAAATCCTAGAATAGGTAAACTATATCTACCATGTTACACCATATCTCTTTTACCATTCATAATGCCTTCTCTATTTGTGGACATAGTCTCAACTCCTGCAAGCATTTTTGATGCAAAGAGTCTAGATTTCTTTTCTTTTTTTTAAAAAAATTTTTGTTTTAGTTGTAGTTGGACACAATACCATTATTTTATTTTTACGTGGTGCTGAGGATCAAACCCAGGGCCTCGCCCGTGCCAGGTGAGTGCTCTACTGCTGAGCCACAACTCCAGCCCCTAGATTTCTTATAATTGGCAAACAGAAATATGTATGTGTGTGTATATATATTTATATAAAGAAAATCATCTAGTCTTCTTTCAGTAGATTTCCCTTTCTCTTCACTGGCTGATCGCAACAAGTTAAGACAGGCAGCTTGGTAGTTAATGAGCACAGGTCAGGGATGAAACAGACTGCTCACATCTGCACTCTACAGCCTACTGATGGCAGACTTCAGGGTGACTCAACCCTGAGCCTCAGTTTCCTTGACCATACTGGGGTTCATACCTGTATCATGGGGATTTTCTGAGGATTACAGTAATTTTACTAGTCAACGGAAAGCCCCTCCAAGGCCCAGTTCCAATATGTGCTGTTCCTCCCTCTGCTTTACTAGTAACTTTAAATGGCCATCTGCAGTATCACTATTAAGCTACCCTTTAGTTATATCAAAATAGTGATTCTGCTGGAAGGGGGCAATCACAAATTTTATACACATTAGGTAAGATTACAACTCTAAAATGCAATAAAAAATTCAACATTAAAAAGTAGTAAAAAATTCAAATTCTGTAACTTTACCAAAGGATCAATTTGTTAAGTGAAGCTAATTAATCTAACAGAATCAGATGTACTACTTTCCTCTGAAAGGAGATGGCTCTCTTCATGTGCTGTTACAGGTTCACTTTATTTCTGGTGCTCCTTTATCAACTCTACACTCAGAACTTAACACAATAATCACAGTCACTAACATTAACAAAAAGTGATTGGAAAATACATTTATTAACTGGTAGCTCTTTAAATACTAACTAATTAGTTCATTAAAAACATTTGCTTTTTCCTGATTATAAAGGTAACATTCATGGACTTGAAAGGTATTGCTAATAATGAAATCCTAAGAGACCAAAAAAGTCTCCTGTGAACTCACCAGATACTATTTAACAATTTGGTGTTTCTGGCCAATGAAATTTTTTGGAAAAGCTGACTGTACTATATTGTGTTTTTTTTCCCCCTCCAAATGCAGAACACAAAACTAACTATTATATTTTAAAATGTTATCATTGCCTCATTTTATAATTTCAAATCCAATAAATCTTCTTTAATCATGTAGGGCTCAGGAAATATCACTTCTTTTGGTAGCTTAAAGAAGAAAATACATCAGAGAATTGTACACTGTTTATGGTATGTTACCTAACAGAAACCTATCTTATCTGGTTACTTTAAAAGTTTCATCAAAAGGCCTAATTGCTTAAATTGCATTTAACCTATTTCATTGAACCTTCTCACACCTGCCCTTTAAACAGAAAACAAAGACAACACTGCTGGAAGGCATCCCCTAATTAAAAATGCCCCCACTTGGGGACTTCACCTTGATTGGGGTGATTGTCCAATTTGCCCTGGTTGTTTAGGAAGCCTGCAGATCATGGCTGTTTGTAGCATCATTCCTCTAGCCATCTTGTCATTTCTTATACTGACTACAATTATGACCACATTTAACTTCAGCACTTAAAACAGGTACTGAAAAGATTTACTGAATAAACAAATGGATTATATCTGCAATCCCAATATTCTACTACAAGTACTATGATTAATTTGGCTAGTAATATAATTCATAAATTTCAAATTACGATTCTTTCTGCAGAACACATAGTGCTCTAGTTAAACAGTGGTTTGATATTATAAGCATATGTGGGTGCAGGTGTGTATGAGCTTTAAAGATATAAAGTACATTTTATTTGTAACATTCAGACAGAATAACAGTTTTTGGCAGTTCTTCAAATAATCTGATTTATATGCTAACACTTAGCAAAAGATGGTTGTCTTCTATGCTGTAATATGGCATAGGTGAAATAATTCAACATAGAATGTAATGAAATGAGCATAAGTACTTAAGCCTTTTGAGTTTAATAAAGAAGTAATGAAGAAATGTAGTGATGTAGCTAAAAAAAAAAACATTTTTGGTTATAGTAAAAGTCTAAAACTGGAACCTGAATTTCCAGTTACCATGTAGTTGTGGGACTCTAAAGAGAGGCTATGGCTCTGAATGAGTATGTAGTACTGAGCTTTCCTATCAGCACCTGAAAAACCTGAGAGAAGGTTATGGCAAAACAACTGCATTAGGGCCAAGGCTGGCAGTCAGAAAAACAAGAACTAATACCACTTGATAAACTCTAAATCATATATTTTTGAAGAAATATACATAGTTCTTGTATGGCTGGCTAGTTGGCCCCAAATTCAACCACTGTCATTTTGTTTCACATACTGAATTTGCAAAGTCCATGTAATTCTTAGTGTGCTATTTATTTAAAGCAAATGCTTTACCTTTTTTCAAATCCAAGAAATAAAATATATAAAACCGAAATAGTCAATGCTAGCAATTCAACATTCACACATACAGGAAAGAGCAGCCCTGTAAGATGCAAACAACATGTACAAAAGGCAGCCAAGTAAAGCTCAAAAGAGATGGGAATATCAGTACCCAGCTGTGCATTTTGTTATTTGTCTTCTCTATGAATCGAGACACACTGGTGTCCTTTGCTATAAAATAAGCCTAACCTAGAAAAATGGTGAAGATTAAGTTTATGAAATCCATTAGCCACTTAATAACACAAAATGTTTAAATTACAAAGGAATGATACACATAAAAAATGTTTTGTAAAAAAAAAAAAGCCCATCTTATCATTCAGTCAATTAAAATTAAATAAACTTCACTAGGAAATGACAAGAAACCTTTGTCTTTTAGTTACAAACATGTTTAAGATCAGGGTAAAACTGATGGTACAGTGTTCTACGCAAAGAAAACTAACTTAGTATAAGAAGTTTTTGATTAATTTATATAGCATTCCACTGGAATCCACTTCCTGAAACCTGTTAACAAGCAAATCAAGGCTTATTTTATTATGGCTAATTTTATCAAATGGCACTTAAATGACATTATAATTTAATGTCAATGACATTAATACGTAACTTTGAATAATTTTATAATACAAACAAAAATTATACTTTTCACCCTATAGTTAATTTTCTTATTGGAAGATTACTATATATACAAATTAAAAAAGTCAATGCTATGGTTTTTCTAAGCTAGCGACATTATGGGAAATGAATTTGCATGATACAATCCAAATATTTTATTATCTGTAAAATTAACTTCACTTGAAGTCAGTACAAGCATATTTTACTTGATAAAAATACAGACATTAAGTTTAACAGCCACTTTCCATCTCACTGCAAAGTCACTGGTAACAAAGACATAGGGCTGAATTGAAGGGATGGAGAACAGTATCCTTTTCTTTTCTATTCTCTCTCTTTGGTTAGCTTTTTTTACCTTGGATCCTGGTTAGAATTAAATGCATATCAGCAACTTAAAGTTGTATAAAAATTTCTTTAATTTTTGGATTTTTTTCCTGTTACTTATTAATAATATTATATTTTTCCTTTGGAGATTTTTAAGCCGTTCAAAATGAATTTTATTATAGATAGAAATCTGTAGACTGGCTCTGTTGAGACTTTAATTCATCAAATATAAAAAATTTCTCCAAATTGAACTGGTTTCAGGAGAATGAGCTATAGCTCCTTCAAAAATTAAGGACACCTTTTTCTGTTTGTTTGAAAAGAATAAAGGTACACTTAGCTACTTAAAAAAAAATACCTGTATTTTATTTATTTATTTTTATGAGGCGCAGAGGATGGAACCCAGCGCCTTGCTTGTGAGCGTTTTACCGCTGAGCCACAACTCCAGCCCCAAGGCTACTTTTTTATAGTGGTATCTATAATAGAAAATACCTACAATAGGAAATTCTAATAAATATAGATAAAGCTCCAATATAATTTCAAAAATAAAATGAAACCCTCCCTGTTCCTCCATCTTTGTCTTCAGAAGAAACAAAACAGAATAGGAGGAGAAAGAAGAGTAAGATCAATAGAGGAGGAATAAAAAAGTAAGAGAAATTTGGCAGAAGAGAAATAGGCCAAAGGAAACCATTTCATATTGGCAATGCTATTTATTAGGCCAGGCAATAGGAAATCCATACATGGTTAGTACAAGTTAACACCTGACTCAGCTGTTCATACCCTTAGAGTCATAAAGCTTGGTGTACCAGGGACAGAGCGTAGAGACGGGGAATATTCAGGGTTTATGGAATCAGGAGAGAGAAATTTTTCAGCAGAATTAACAGTCATGTGATAGATGTGCTCAAAGTTGATCGGAGAGGAGATCAGACCGGAGTGATGATGAGGGGATGGATAAGGGAAACCTGGCTATCAAAAACAACAGAAAGAAGAAAAAAGGTGGTAAGGTGATGAAAATGGAGTTGTATGTGACATTTCAGATAACATGCATATATAAAAAATGTAGTAATATCTTATATCAGAATTGAATCCTTAATGAAATACTTTTAGGTCTTAGAAAGTTTAATTTTTGTAATCCTTTTGCAGTTATTTAAATAGCTGACTTGCAAAAGATCATTCTCCTAAAAAATTTTAAATTATTATTGTTAAATGAGTAGAAGTTAAACTTTTAGAAATGCAAGACTTTCAGAGTTTAGTTCAGTTTTTTTTATGTGATACAAGGAAAATATGACAAATATTTACCAAAAGTATTAAGGATAGAAAAGGTAAGAAATGCTTAAAGGAAGGACAAGAGAATCTTCAACAGCTTTTAATTGGACATGTTCAAAACCATTTGCTGGGTGCAGTGGTGCACGTCTATAATCCCAGCGATTCGGGAGGTTGAGGTAGGATAGTGAGCTCAAAGCCAGCCTCAGTAATTTAGAGGCCCTAAGTAACTTAGTGAAATTCTGTCTCAAAATAAAAAAATAAAAAGAGCTAGGAAAAAGGCTCAATGGTTGAGTGCCCCTGGGTTCAATCCCCAGTATTGGTGTGAGGGAGATTTAAAACCATTTCCCAGTGCTGTGTTTTTAGAGTTTTGACATGTGTTTGCTTTTACTGATCTTATTTCTCTGTAACAAAAATAGTGTGTAACTATAGGATATACTAATTATTGGTTTACCTTTAAGCAACCAAGTTTATCTCCATTTAGACACCCCCCAAAAGCAATTTGTCTTTAAAAAGGGTAAATCTTTCCTTCAGTGTTCCAGTATATTTTTTTAAAATGAAGTAATGTAATACTAAAAAGAAAAAAACACAATCACTTTATTAGAAGCAGAGAGAAAGACATGCTGGAGAGAATGCTGACTGACTCTAACATGGAATTTGCATTTTCATGAGTTGAGACAACTTGCTTTTTAAAAAGATCTCAGGAATTACCTAGGTTTAAAAGAATGGATTCTACATAAAGTACTGGTTTTACTTTTGAGACATAAGGAAAATTAATATTTTTTCAGGTTGTTTTAATAAAAAAATCTACTGATTGATAACACATGTAACTTTGACTTTAAAAAGCAAAATTACTTTTGGGGGAGTACCAGTCCTAGGGGTGAAATCCAGGGCTTTGTGCATATTTGGCATACTCTACCACTGAGCTACATTCCTAGTCAAAGAAGCAAAATTACTTCTTAAAATCCAAAGAAGTCATTGAACTAGATGTTTTATCTTTATTAACAATTTTAGGAATAGTCTTGGCTAAGTTACAAAAAAAAGGTTTGCATCTGATACAGTAAATAAGAAAGTAAAATGACCATAGCCTTACTGTTGCTTCCATATTTACAAAATAAACACATTCGATTTCAGGATCATTTAGTATGAAAGAAACAGAATTAAGCTTTTAAAGACATTTAATAAACTTTCTAAGCTCATAAATACTTCATAGGAAAGCAATTCTGATTTGAATGAGTTGAAACATAAAAATGTCTCGGGCACATGTTCTTTGCACTGATGGCAACAATACATGAAAGCACTTATATGTTAATAGCTGAATTTAATTCACCTGTATTTTTTGGAAAATTTTTTTGTAGTTCCATTTCAGTGAAAAGAACATATTAAAATCCGAGAACATGAAAAGATCATAAGCTTTTCAATGGGAAGATATGTACAAAACATACAGGCATGAAAACTATTATTATTTCCGGACATGCAAATTATTATAGTTTACTGATGTCTAGCCCCAAATAAGCATAGTCCCAGAAACATAATATGTGCTCAAGAAATACCAGTTAGGTAACTGAATGGATATCAATCAAAAGCCCCAGCTCAGATGTCTTTTGGTAATGAATGAGAACATTCATACGAAAATAACATAACCATGAAGAACAAGAATTCAAACACACAAAATCTTTGATGCATACTACATATACATGTGAAGAAACAGGTTTCAAAAATTTACACCAAATTTTCTGTCCTGGAAAAAATCTCTTACATGGAAAGAAAACATTAAAGGAAAGGAAGGAACATTAAAAACTGGATTGAATAGGGAGGGCAAAAAAGTCACTTGTGTTAATGCCTAAAAGAACCAACAAGGTGGCCACAGATTAACAAAATCAGGTGACCATATACCCTGAAAATCAAAAGGTCTAATTAGAGTCAGTAGTCAGCACCAAAGATCATGTGTTATGGAGTGAATTGGGGATGAATCTTTGGAAAATGTTACTTGACTTGTTTTGATTAGTAAAAAAAAAAATATTGAAACAAAAAGTAAAATATAGATTTTACTTTAAGTGGTGGAAGGGTGAGGGGAGAAAAAGTAAAGAATTATTCAAATACTCTGATATGAAATTTCTTATGATACTTGAAATCAGGGTGCATATTGTATATGAGGGTCTGAAAGAACCCTGGTACATTAGCAAAGAGACTTTGCTATCATCTGATGGCAAAGTAACATCTTATTGAATATTGACATAATCTTAAGGAAAACAGGATATAATAGAATTTCTACAAAAATTTTCTATAATTCTTCTTGCTGCATTGTTGGAATATAAGACATGATAAATATTCTTCTTTGGTACACCAAAATGGAACAAAAGGAAAGAGATTTTAATTTTAAAAGAATAATAACCTATCAAAACTTTACTGAAATAATTTTGTATTAGCTTGTGTGCTGCTCTGCAATACATGCGTCTGAAATATACATGCCTCTATCCCTCCATAACATTAATTATGTACCATATATTGAAAAAAACTATTGACAAAATAAATTGCAAAAAATTTTTAATTATTTAATTAAAATAATACATAGCATTTGATCTTCCAAATATAAGCTATAAATATACTCACATTTCAACTGTTTATCATAATTAAAAAAAACTCTCTCTTAGGATATTTTGTGTCTGATATTGTAACTTCTATGGGAAGAGGGGACCAAGAGGCTTGGGACTGCGTGGTTATGTTACTTTTACTTCTGATACTAAAAGAAAACCAGGCTGAGGACTTGAAGTAAATGTTCAAGATGGGAAAAGAACGGAGAGAAGTCTTGAGATCTGACTCCAGGTAAATGTTGAAAAAAAGAGTATAACTTTTAAATATGATAAACAAGTAGAACAGTTTTAATATTTAATGTGCTTGACCTTTTTTTTTTTTTTTTACTTCTATACAAAGGTTATATGTAATCTAGTTTTTGCATACTTTTTCTTTTTTTTGGTACCAGGAATTGAACTCAGGGATTGAACCACTGAACCACAACCCCAGCCTGTTTTTTATTATTTATCTGAGACAGGGTCTCGCCAAGTTGCTTAGGGCCTCACTAAGTTGCTGAGGCTGGCTTTGAACTTGCAATCCTCCTGCTTCAGCCTCCCCAACCACTGGGATTAGAGGCATGCCCCACCATACCTGGCTGCATGCTTAATATAATGTCTTAATGATGAAAAAAAATAACAGCAGAAAAAGCAGAGCCAGCTGATTAGTTGGGCTTACTTACTACAAAGTACTCAGATACAAGTGAATGCAAGCTTTTTTCCTCCCCATATGAAATAAATGTAAAAATTTCCTTTATTAAATTATTTTTTTATGTTAAAACATTTGAGCGCACAAACTATATTACTTATTTTCTCAGTTCTTCCATCATAGCACTGTTGGGTAACATGGTTGAGACAGATTTCCTTAGTGGGAGATTTGGGGAGAGATTTATAAATCATCTCTCTCAAATTGCCATAAAATAAAAACTATATTTAAAAATATGTGCAAAGTTCTGCTGCCATCTCCACTGATCAGAAGGGCAATATTAAAGTTTTATAAATTGCTGAGTATATGTGGTACTGAAGTGTTAAGAACAGAGCCAGGATAATCAGCTAATTCTACTAAAATCTTTAATTTCAATAGATCTGAGAATCTGATCTTCATATTGTTAAAAACACAACCATTTTTCTATGTTGTACTTTTTATGTACAAGTGACCAGTTTGTAATTGGGCAAAAAGATTTAATTTCACAGTTAGCTGAGAGGTGTGACCATTACTGACAAGCTAATATGGATCTTAAGGGAAAAAAAGGCCAAATGCCTGTACGGAACTTAGTGAAATTTTAGTGATTTGGTAACCAAGTTCTGAAATTGATTTATAACGTCCCCAAACATAGCAGGTTTTTTTTTTTTTTTTTCCCCCACCACCAACAACAGATTTAGGGAGAAATTTCTAGGGTACAGAACTAAATAAGAACTTGATTTATTTGTTTTTTGACAGATTTCTAAATTTATGCTTTTCTCATCAGGTATATATATATCATCATGTATCTTAACATATTGTAATATAATAAGAGAACCATCTCCTCATTATACTAATATGTCCTGTGAAACCTGTCTACATATATATGCTGATATATATGTATTTTCCCTCATATATCTCCCACTTACTTATCACCCCATTCACATTAATATTCACTCTTCATTCATTTCTCTTACCATAGGTAGGTCTTTTAGAATCTGTATTCCATCTCCAGGTCCCATGTGGGCTATGTGGTTAAAATTAGTTGGGTTAGAAATTAATTTATTTCTCATCTCTGGATCCCGCAGCATCTCCCTGTAAGGAAAAAAAAAAAAAAAACCATGTAAATATTTTTTACACAGTAAATCTAGATAAGAAAAAAATTATACATACTTTATTTTTGTCTTTAAAATGATTAAATCATGCTAATAAAGATAGAATAATAGAATAGATTCAATTAATAATTCAATTCCTTAAAATGTTTTTAATTTTAAATAAAAGATATTATGATTTGGAGTAGGAAAGAGGGAGGATCCTTTTATTTATATTTTTAGTACTGGGGATTGAACCTAGGGCCTTGCTCATACTAGGCAAGTGAGCTTCAGATCCAACCCCCCAACAGGTCTATTCATATTTAGATATCAAGGAACTTCTGCTGGATTTTTACAGATAATTCTCAACATTTCATGGGTATCTTTTAAAATAATTTATAACATTTTAGAAATGTTTTTAAATGTAGCTGAAAATGCTATATGCCTATTTCTGTTTGCTCATGAAGAAAACAATGTAGATTTCTTAAAACATATACAGGTTTACTATATGCACAGATATGATTTAAGCTTGTACTGTAGAAAAGTATACATCCCCCAAATTATTACTCTTTCATAAACCTACCTAAGAGGATCAAAATATGGTACTTAATTCGGTGTATTCACATAACTTTTAGATTATTAATTAAAATGACACTGAGAGGTTACAGTCATAATTGCACTTAGGGTTTTTTTTTTCCCCTTAAATTCCTTTCGTGATGCTGGGGATCAAATCCAAGGCCCTGCACATGCTAGGCAAACACACACTCATCACTGAGCTATACTCCTAGTCCTGCAGTTTTTGATATCATTTATGAATAATAGATTTTCAGATACCAAATTGTCTTTCCAAATCAAGTATAGTATTATTAGCAGATAGTCCCTCAGATGCTAGAAGCATAGATGGACAATAAGTACAAATTATATATCTACCTCCTCTGTTGCATCCTTTCCTCTTCTGGGACTCTGAAGGAGTAACGTCGTTTGTTGTTGATATTTCTAACCATTTGTTTCCGACTATTATCTGATGTTTCAGGAACCACCAGCTCATCCCCTTCTGTTTTTTAAAAAATGGTGCTGTTTAAATTACTAAATTGCTTTTTTAGCCATTAATCTCCATGGTAGCACAATTATACAAGTATATGTAATTCTGAATTTTAAAAGTCATGCATTGATAATCATAGTAAATAAGCAATAATAGAGTGTTTGTGTGGTACTGGGAATTGAACCCAGGAGTACTCTGTTACTGAGCTAGATCCCCAGCCCTTTAAATATATATATATATATATATATTTATATTTATTTTTTTTTTTTTTTTAAATTTTGAGACAGAGAGTTGCTAAGTTAAGTTGCCCAGCCCAGGCTGGCTTTGAACTTAGGATCTTCCTGCTTCAGTTTCTAAGTTGCTGGGATTATACGCATGGACCACCACACCTGGCAGCAATAATTTTCAATAGGACATGTAAAAATATATATGCTTATATTTATGTAGTATTATGTAAATATTATTTTCATATATTAATAACAAAATTTCATATATTATACAAAAATAAAATGTGGGGATGTAGCTTAGAGGTAGAACACTCCTAGGTTCAATCCCTAGTGCCATAAAAAAATATATATATGTGTGTGTGTGTATATATATATATATATATATATATATATATATATATATATATATAAATTAAACATAACTAGCAAAATACATTTTACATTTTCACTTCTATTTCATTATAAACATGACACAATTTTGCTAGAAGAAAACTGTAATTGCCTTGATGTCCTGTCCCTTTGACGAGCCAATTCACCCCAATATTTCTATACTATTTTCTCTCATACCTACCTATCAGTGGGTTTAGTAGCTTAGGATATTAAAAAGTTGCTATTATGGGGGTTTTGTGGTATTTATTTTAATTTGTGTGCAGTGATGGAGATAGAACCCATGGTAGGCAAGAGTTATACCACTAAGCTATAGTCCCAGCCCCCAAAAGATGCTATTATTAATGTGTAATCAGGCATAAATAGCAAGCTATTTATGTAAATAATTAAAATTATTTTTACATAATAAAAATTTCTTGTGAGATGTGGAATAAGGAAAGGTCTGTGTTCCCATTATCCTCCTTTTGAAGGATCTGTCACTATTCTAATCTTCTGATCTTCTTATCTTGAAGGTGGATACTATATAATTGTATACTCCTAGCAACCAGGTGACCATCTTGTCCCATTTCAATTTTAACATCTGGAAGGAAACAACTGTAAACTGGGAACTCTAAAAACCTGCTGGGCTTTGTGTCTTTGTGTCTTTTGTAAAAAGACAACAGTTATCCATATAACATGGCAGGCAGGGTATGCCATTATCTAAATAAGATAAGGAAAAAGGAAAAAAGCCAATCTTTACAAGTTTTTGACACTGTAAAGCTGAATCAAGAAGAAAAAGGCTGAAAGAAGGCAAATGGGCCTATAAGACAAGCCAAAATAGAAAATTACCACAAAAGCAACACATTCCTTGTGGTATAATAATGTTGCTTAATCAGATCATTTTCTCAACAACAAATATTAAAAGGATAGACTTTAATGTAGATGAGAATGTGGGACATCATTCTAGAATATGAGAATTATGAGGATAAAGCAGGAATTTTGAGTTATGGTGGTGACAAGAGACGTGGGGCAGCCAGAAGGCAAAGGAGCATTTGTCCCTTCTGCAGGAGGGAAAAGCAAGAGAGAGAAAAAGAAGGAACCTCTTGGAAATGGGATTTCCCTCCTTTCTCAAATAATAAGATATTGAAACCTGTCAGGTCTCCTTTCTCAGAGTTCTACCTCCACTCCTAGCCTGAAGCAGAAAGATGAAAGCATGGGAAGAGACATGTGGAATAGGTTTTGTCCTACAGATACAACATGGATATAAGGAAATTTAATGACCAGCATTAAATACGGTGAGAACAGAGTGGATCCAATTTTATACAAATATGTGAAGCTCCTCTAAGAAACAGAACACAAAATTAAGTATAGGGTCTTGGAAACCTGAAACTTAAGTTTCATTAGCTTCATGATTGAGAATCATGCCTAAAATTTGAATGTCCTTTATCAAATCATACCATAAAGGTATACCATTTTAACACAGACAGCTATTAACAAAGCACTGAACCACAAACCAAACAATTATTTCATTACTTAAAATCAAAACAAACAAAAACAATAAACATAAGCTTTTGATGGATTTCTTTTACAGTAGAACATAAAAAACTATTGAGGGAATATGAGGGGCAAAAAGCATTAAGAAGATAATCTCATGACCTTTAGATAACAGGTATAAACATTTTAACATTTCCTTGAGGCCAATGTTTTTACTTATATTTAGGTAAATTCAAATATTACTTTAGTTGCTGATAAACCTTTATTTTATTTATTTATATGTGGTGTTGAGACTTGAACCCAGTGCCTCACACATGCTAGGCAAGTGCGCTACCCCTGAGCCACAGCCCCAGTCCCAAATATTACTTTAAATACACAATATATCATTAAGTGCCTCTTCATTAAATAGTTCTACCACAAAAGAGCAGAGATTTATGAATACCTGTGTTAGGAAAATATTTGTTGCTGACATAAGAATGATTTTATTATATAGAAAAAAGCACACTATTTGTTAAAAGTGAGATTTTAACTGTCTGGCCTCACATTAATGGCAAACAACATTTAATTCTACATGTATAGACTATGGCATTTTACATATGGTCTATTAATCACAGGTTTGACAATCTCAGCTTACTACTTGGTCACTGACCAAATGCTGTTCTCTTGTTTATAACCCCCAGGGTTCCTGCTCCCTCTTCTGATTCTAGGCACTTTTATGACTTTCCTCTTTTTTCTGCTTCTAAGTTGTCATCAGTACTTTAGAAGTACTAAGCCCTTTGCATTGGCAAAAGATGGGTTCCTGAAGTCTGCAGATGGAATTCTGAATGAATGTCCTTAATTTTAATGCCACAAATTTTGTTTAAGTTCTATGGTATTTTAAGTACAGAAGTATATTCAGCTACACTTTCTCTGCTTACCTAGGTATACCCCAGAAAAATAACAAGGCATGTCAGAATGAAATACTTTGTTAAATCAGCTATGACAGTTTAAATAGAATCACTTTTGCCCAATAATCTGTCTTGGATATATTAACAGTATGTGGCCAAGATCACACACTCTAGAGGAAGATATATAAGATTTTAAATCTGTACTCTAGCACTCATTATTCATATGACATTGGGCAGTCAGAAGAAAAATAATATTTCCATTGAAGCTATTACTATTAATGTTCTGTTTTCTTACCTGCCATCTTATTTTTGAAATATATCAATCTAACTGTCTCCAATCCTAAAAGATTTAAAGATCCTTCACTGTTTAAAGGTCGAACCTAAAATAATAAAAAATAAAATAAGTACTTCAACAAAACTTTTATAAATTAAATCATAAAACTTTTGGCCTGTACATAAAGCATATATTATTAAGATCTTTTATTTATATACTTCAAAATACAGTCCTTTCAGAAAAAACCCAAAATGCTAATAATTCTGATTGTGAAGGCATTATATCTGATTTGGACAAACAAACTTATAATGATAACATTTTAAAGAAAGAATATCCTGGACAAATAAATAAAATTAAGTAGAAATACATTTAAACCTTAAGTTTGACCTTTTAAAGCTATCAGTGACCAAATAATTACATTAAGAAGATATCAATAGTTGCTTTATGAGCTCTTATCATCAAATACTTGATCTACATATAATAAAGATAAAAGTACAGATGACTGGGAAAAGGAAGAATTGTTAATAAATGATAATGGAGCAACACATTACATAAAACCAATAAAACAGAATCCCTATTTCATACTACAAGCAAAAAAAAATCAATTACAAATGGATTAAAGATAGACATATAATAAGCAACATTTCAAAACATTTGGAGGGAAACAAAGGTTACATCTTTATGACCTTAAGCTAGGAAAAGTTTCTTAAAGAGAAAAAAAAAAAAACAAACCTAAAGAACAGGAAAGTACATTTAACTACAGTAAAATTAGTAAACAATAACTTCTGTTCTGAAAAATAAACCCATAAGTCACAAATGAACAAGATTTACCATGCATTACTAAAACAGGACATATTACATAAAGAAGTAGAATAAATCAACAAGATGGCAAAAATGAGCAAAAAACATGACCAGGCATTTCACAGAAAAGGAAATACGAATGATGAATAGATATAGAAAAGACTCCCAACCACACAGTTAACTGGGGCATGAAAATTAATACTGCAATATGATACCATTTTATGAAACCATTTATGAAACTATGAATGCTGACAACAACAGGTATTAGAGAAGATGTGGGTAAGAATCTCATCAATTCCATTCCTAGATATATGACTTAAACTCTTGCACATCTACCCCAGATAATATGCAGCAACATTCACAATAGCAAAAGCTAGAAAATAATTAAAATGTCTGTTAATCAGAGAATGAATAAATAGCAAGTAGGCTATTTTACACAATGAATTTACACAATGAATTACACAGTAGAGGTAGCAACAGGTATAGATCTTTGAAGCCCAGTAAATGAGTTAAACAAAGGTAAAAAGTGACAATATATCACAATATTTTAATAGATCTCAAAACCAAGCAAAACTAAATAATATATTGTTTAGGAATATTTAAATGTGCAAAAATCTGTATTTTCAGGAAAGCATAGGGACAATAAGCATGACATTCAGGGATACTGACTTTCTGAGGGAAGGGCTGAGGTATCAAAAAGGGAGGTGGGTTCACAAGTGATCAGCTTATTAATATGCTTCATAAAGATAACATATATATTGCAAATTACATGGAAAAAAACCCCAGAAAACTTAGTAGAGTCAGTCAAAATTTATAAAATAGAGGACCACGTTTTAGTTGCTTTATATAATGTGGCAATACTTACAAGAGTTGTTTTTCACTATTGATGTGGTTTAAAATTGGACACATTATAAAATATGATCTTGGCTACTTTGTTTCACCTAGTCCTATCATTTTACCAATGATGTACATTCTAAATATACTATATACGTCTATATGAAAATAGTACTTTTCTTTTTTAAAATTTGTTTTAATTAGTTACACATGACAGTACAATGACCTTGACATATCATATATTTGAATTAGATGGGGTATAATTTCTCATTTTTCTGAGTGTACAGATTACAGAATCATATTGGTCATGCAGTCACATATATATACACAGTAATAATAATGTCTGTTTCATTCTACTATCCTTCCTATCCCCCAACCCCTCCCCTCCCCTCCCATCACTTCTCTCTACCTAATCTAAGGTAACGCTATTCTTTTTTTTTTCTCACATCTTCATACATATATTTTGTATAACGATGAGGGTCTCCTTCCATAATCCATGCAATTCCCCTTCTCCCTCCCTTTCCCTCCCACCTCTCTTCCCTATCTAGAGGTAATCTTATTTTTGCAAAACAGTAGTTCCATACTTGTAAAATTTTTGTTATGGAAACAATAGAGGAATATTAAGGGAAATATTATGTTTTATTAGTCATATGAAACACTTCTATTTCTAAATCAATCATGACTCAACTAAACAATTTCAGTTCCAAGTTGAATAACTTCCCTATTCATGAACTCTGTCTTTGCAGGATTAAACATTGCATACCATTATGTGAAAAAGTTATGATTAATAATAATCACATACTCTCCTGAAGCTCTTTAATCTCAAAGTAGATGATAACATTGACATTTTAGGTTGTATGATATATTCTAGTTGCTCGTCAAGTTCACAATCAGAGAAACTAAATGTAATATGAATAGTATGGAGTTTAGCTACCTATCAAAAATTAGCCAGCTCAGCTCCTATTTTAATGCCAAATTACCTTTTTGAGAGGAAGAGTCTGAATCCATTCCATGGAATTCACATCGAAGATATCAACTGCATTTTCACTATACACTGAGAGATATGGTGCATTGTAACCTGGGAAAAGGAAAGGAAGGGACAACCTACTGATTATTTTAAACTATTAAGCCCAAATAATTTTGAAAGTTCTGTCTTAAATAACTGTAGAGTAGAATCCCACCAAAAGCCTATTGTTATCATATAAGAACCACATTAAAATATTTTTGAAATAAAGAGAACATAAATTATTTATTTATTACAGAAGAATTCTATTAACATCTAGCTAATAAAGCAATTTAATTACATGTTAAAAGTGTCTGACTCTTAAAGTAGTTAAATTATTGACAGTGAAACAAACTTACAAAGTAGAGAAATCTTCAGGTAAGTGTTCTACCCCCAAATATGAATGTATGATAAATTACCAGAGCACAATTACATGAATAGTTTAGATATTCAATAAATATTTCTTGGAAGAATATTAATAAATGGCAATATGAGCAAAGAAAGAATAAATGAGTGTGTAAACTAAGGTTATGAACTGCATTATTGACAAAGTTATAAATAAAAGTCAGATAGTCCAACTTTTACTTCATGTTAGGATATTTTGGACTATGGAACTCAGTTACAAACAGTATTCATTCTATATATTAAGCTATAAATGAGAGCATATATGTCAGAAAAAAAATAAAACATTAAAAGTAGTTGAATCTGACATCCAGGAGAAATAAGACTTTAAAAATAGTTAAATCTGATGTACAGTCCCTGGCACACTCCCCACCCCTTGGGCCACAAATTAAATCTAAGTGGGTAGAATTATAGGTTATTTTTTGTTTGTTTTTTTAATCTAGGTTTCCTAATTTTTCTGTAATAAGACTTAATAGTCCTTCTAATTTTTTTTTTTTTTTAACAGAACCTTTAGAACTGACAGGACTCATTCCCACCATTCCTTCTTATTCCTGTCTTAACATTACAATGGGAGAGATTTCACTCCTCCTGTTCTGAGTAGTCTTCCACCTGTGTTCTGAATTTATCCTCATTTGCCTTCTTGGGGATCTGACTGTTTTCTGTATTTCCCAGATTGTCAACTTCTCCAAGTGGTTCCCTAATGGTTTCTTCCTTTCAGCATTCAAACATGCTCAAGAATCTTCCATTGCAAACAAAAGAATTTGGGTTAGATACTCCTATTACAAGCTTCTATTGAACTCTCACTTCAGGTATTATAGCATACATTTTCTACTGAAACTCCTAGTTGTGACATGAATATTTTCTACTGCACTCTATACTCTGAGAAGGTAGACTACTTCACTATTTCATACAGTGACATGGCATGTATTCAGTAATAAATAAATTATTACGTAGCAATAAAACTATACAATAATTTATTTTTAATATTTCTTGAAAATGAAATAGGCAACTTTAAATATCTGCCCATCTAGATAAACATATAAAACTGAATAACACTTCTTAGAGAAACTACATTTTTCTTTTCCTACTAAATAATTCATTTAGTAATTACTTCTCAAGAATAAGTGCTACTTATACTTATGAGCACTGTATTTTGGAGAACAATGAAAAGAGCTACTTGAGTTATTTAAAAATGACTAACACAAGATAAAAAAATTCCATTTCAGTAAAATATTCCATAGAAAAATTAGTTTTCATTATGTGCATGTTAATATTGACTCTATTTGCTTAGGCCTAACTACATATGGTTACTTTACATAAACAACATAATTAATACTAAGGAAAACTTTCAGAATCATTCTAAAAAATATAACCTGTTATTAACAATGACAATGTTTAATTGAAGTAGAAGGAAAAAGAAAAGGAAGGAGACAGGAAGATAAAGACAGCCATAAGAAAGAGAATCTTACAACAAGAGGAAGGATTTGCTGGCCACATCAATTCCTGTTGTCTAGATCTTCGGCCCTGGCAGTCAGTGTATATCCCAATGCTGTTAAAACACAGCAGGTATTCTTTACTGGAGATCTCAACTGCGCAGATAGCATCCATTGGTTGATGTGCAATAAATGATAGTGTGTGGTCATTTGAATGGAGCATACTGTATGGATTTCCTTCTCCATTCAAGGGGTATTTTAGAAATCCTGACTGGAATCCCACACAGAGCTGTTCGCTGAAGATTGCCATCCACTGGACATTATATGGGACTTGAATTTCTTTAAATTTTCTGTGACGGGTCTTGCTCTGAAATAGTTCATAACAGAGAACCTGCCTTTTCATAGCCACACACAGGCATGTAAGAGCTCCATGGCGCATCTTTCCAGAAGTTATAGTTTGACACCCTTTAGTTTCTGCCAACTTGTAAAAATCTGTCTCTCGCCCGTCCAAAGCTGACATAGGAAAAAGTCGTACGTGACGATTTCGTCCTGAGATCACAGCAACAAGCTGATCATTTGGAATAAGTTCAATCTGATGAATCTTCTTATTGTCACCAACTCTGATAATTTCTACATGCAGAAATAACAAATCAAATGCAAAATAGTTTTATAAGTCATCCAAATTATACTCAGAAGTATATAAGTCATCTTTATTTAAAGATGGAGAGGTACACATAGAATAAGAGATCAGAAATTACAGAGAAAAAGAAAGATATTAAAACCCATTGTAAAATCATTTAACTTTCCTATATTAAATTTGGCACAGATCTCTGACAGTCAAGGCAGAGTTCTTAATTGAAAGCATGCCAGTTTTTAAGAAAACTTTTTTTAAATATTTTAAGTTTTTTTTTCAGATGGACACAATATCTTTATTTTGTTTTTATGTGGTGCTAAGAATCGAACCCAGTGCCTCATGCATGCTAGGCGAGCACGCTACCACTTGAGCCACATCCCCAGCCCAAGAAAACTTTTTTTATTGGTACTGAACTGTAGGGAATTTCACCGTGAGGTTGCTATTTTTAAAAACTGGGTAACCGCATAACTACTAGTTACTCTGAAAGTGTTTCTATGGTATCAAACCAATGACATTTAAATGAATTAATTTGTCATGATAAAACTTGATATAAAATTAGAACTTAGAATATTATATTTATAAATATCAAATTAAATTGTTTTCTATTTCACCCAGCATTTAATTTTTCTGTAGGAAAAAAACTGTTGGTCAGGCATGGTGGTGCATGCTTGTAATCCCATTGTCTTGGGAGGCTGAGGCAGAGGATCATAAGTTCAAGCCAGCCTCAGCAATTTAGTAAGATCCTATCTCAAAAATAAACAAACCAAAAATGTTGGAGTAAAGCACTCCTGGGTTCAACACACAGTAACCACCTCCTTCTCACCCTGCAAAAAGAATGAATAAACCTGTTGTATTACAGTGGGGGTGGGAGGACTTCCAATAAGCATATTTTAATAGTTGTTATAATTTATATTACCTTCTAATAAGACTAATTATGATAATATACTAATTTTAGGAAAACTCAAAAAATTTTCCATGTGCCACCTTTGAAGTACAATATGAGTTCATATAGCAGAACTGCTAAATAAGATGACATAAGAAAGATAATATACACTTGCTTAGGAGAATTATAAAAATTAAAAAATAATCTTTTGATTTTAGAATATATCAAATTGTGCCTGGAAAATTTCATTTATAGAATATGTAAGAGCAAATCCTACTCTTTTTAGAATTTAGACTTGAGCAAAATTTTTCTAACATATGATTTAAAGTTACTCTAAAATGATTAGGTTTTCTCTTACCATCTTTGGTGACATGAACAACAAATAACCCTTCTTCATTTCCTAAAGCTATTCTTTCGTGATCTGTGTAAAACACAAATATGAGACAATTTTATTAGCTAAAAGCCATATAAAGCTAATACAATAAAACAGAAATAAGAAAATGAGGTGCAAAAATGAAAATAAGTAAATAATCATAATACAGTAACAATTTACACTATGAAATTTTCTTTCAGATTACCAGTGATAAATTTATCATGTGTTTTAAAATAGAAAAATCACTAAAAAATATCCCATGTCAATACCTACAAAAATAAGTAATTGTTTATTCAATAAATTGTGAAAAACAATTAAAAACCTACTTTGTTAGTACCCTAGGTCCAGTTCAATATATTGTTTTTGGAGGAAAAGATTGTGTCAGGTATTTTAACACAAGTATTGAACCCTAAGTAACAAAAGATATGGATATGTATGTAAGAATGTAGCAAAACTTTAAATCTCCAGATTCAGAAGCTTCTGTTTACTGAGGGCTTTTTAATGCAGAGTACTATGTGTTTATATACCATGATTTTAAAATTTCTCAATAACATTAGCAAGGTAATTAGTATCTTATGCATTACATGTGAAAATTATGCTTTAAGAAATTAATTTATTCTAGTTCACATAAGTAGAAAATGGATTATTAAGTTAGTCTTTAGTAATATCACTTTTTCAGAAGGGAATGTATTTAGTGTAACTGCTTAAAAATAAAAATCTAATAGGTCTCATTCACTTAATAAACATTTATTGAACATCTATGATATAATTCATGTTATGCTGGACAGTGGGGATTCCTAGATGAAAGCCAGTCCCCAGCTCACAAGGTAGATCAGTAAACAATTATAATAATATGATAAATGTTATAAATTCATACCTATGATTGCAGCTGCCTGGGTTGTTTTAATGAGGGGTAGAGTGCTATCATAAGCCTCTTTGGGAACATAGACTGAGCGGTCTCTGAATTTGTTTTTCTTCAGTATCTTGTGCAATTCACTCAGCACTCCCACCCACTTACTCTTCTCATTCTCATTATCTGCTAGCATCAGGATTGAACACTTGTTATTGGATGCTGACAGCTGGGAAGCTGTGACCTAGAAGAATTTAATCCAATATTCATTATATTAGAAAACAGACACCCTTTATGCTAGTTTCATAAAGTAGGCTAGTTTTGTGAGGAGACTAGTTTGCTTAGCACTCACCAATAAAATGAGAATTCATTAAACGATCCCTTTAATAGAATTTAGCTATACTTAATCAGAATAACTAGTTCTAGCACTAGGATTATTGCCAAGGCAAAGGTAGGAGACACCAATCAAAATCATAAAATTTCCTAGCATTCCTGACTTTTCATCTTCCTTGCTATAAAGGTGCCAGAACATTATAATAAAAAATGTGTTACATATACTCATATAACAACTGACATTTAAGAGTAATTACTGAGTAGATTTAAACACAAGTATTAACAAATTGAACCTCTTAACATTTTCATGAGATAGAAATTGTTATTATAACTTCATTTTACATATGATAAAGCCATGATAAAGAGATTAAATAATTTCTACAAGGGCAAACAGCTAGAGGTCTGGGATCCTGTGTGAATGCTCTTAAGCGCTATACCATACTGTTTTGAAAAGTCAGGAATGCTAGGAAATATTTATGTTCTGTTACTTTATAAAAATAACTCACATTATTATTAAAGAAGATGAGAGCACCAGAAAGGGTTTAAATGGAAGTTCATCCTTCTACAAATCATGATCAGAACAGTTTTGAATTTTATACATACAGATTTCTTCTTAAAGTAATTTAAGCATCAATGACAATAAAAAGCACACTGCAAATTGATGATTGATAAGCAGGCTCTATAGGCTCTCTTGGTGGCCAGAGGGAGAATGAAATAGTTACCAGTGTAGGAACCAAGAAATTAGACAAGGTTATTGTCTTTGACCTTCCTGGGACATAAAATTCATAGACAAATAGTATGCAGACAGGCATAACAGGGCAGCTTTAAAAAATATCTATTGTCTTAATTCACCATTTTAAGATCACATTTTGGTATACAGCCTTGAAAGATGGCTATCAACAATTCCCTACTATAGAATTCCATTCTTCTATTATTATTAACAAGTCAAATCCATTTCCTTTCCCCTCAAATCTGGGATGACCTCATAACTTCCTTTGATCAATGGAATGCAGAAGGGTTACTATGCTTGTTTGGGGTCTAGTCCTTATAAGGCCCAGCTGCTTCTTTTGGTCTCTTGGAAGCCAGCCATTGTGAGTTCAGTTAGACTATCAAATTGTTAAGAGACCATACAGAAAGTCAATGAAGAGAACTAGCACCAAGGCCACAGACATAAGGACAAGGTCATTTTGGGTATTCTAAGCTCCAAAAGAGCTGAATGCAGTCCCGTGAGTAATCTTAACTAACACCATGAGAACTGTACAGCTGACTCACAGAATGATGAAAATAATAAAATGTTGTTGGTTTAAGTTTCTAAGATGTGGGACCATTGTTACAAGGTAATAGGAAATAAGCATGATTTTAAAATGAGATATTTAAAGAGAGAAACTTCTTTAAAAAAAAAAATTGAGAAACCTCACACTTATTTAATTTTCCAAGAAGGAATCTTTATTTGAAAACTGAATTTGGACTAAAAAATATTACCTGTTAGGGAACATATTTTAGAAGCCATGTATTTATATTTTCTATAGATCTTTCCTTAGTTAAACTTAGCATAAATGCAAGTATCAGATGATACTGAACATAGAAATATTAGATTTGGCTTATGATTTACATAAAGAGGAAAAACATATTCATTAAAGACAAATAATTCAGTGATCAAACTGTAGAACACACTTACTCTAAATATACAGGGTATATCTTTTCGACTTGCATGAATAACATCAGAGGCCAAGACTGAACTCACAGAAAATTCTTCATCTCTGAAAGAAAAGTGAAACATTAGAAGTTAGTATAAGTGGCTATATATGTGGAGTTTTGATTATGTAACCAAATATATAGGAAGCAATCCTCAAAGCTTAACTGCACAAAACACCTAAATTGAAACTTTAAAAAATTTGATTTTTCCCCATTGTAACCAACAGTACCCAAAGTAATTTATCAAGAGTAACTTAACAGGGCTGGGGATATAGCTCAGCTGGTAGAATGCTTGCCTCGAATGCACAAGGCCCTGGGTCCAATCCCCAGCACAACACACACACACACACACACACACAGAGTAACTTAACAGAGGCACATTATACAAGAGCTACAAATGTTTTCTGGCTAATCCAAAGACACAAGGCCAGTAAGCATACATAGAGAACTAGGATTTGAACCATGCTAGGTCTTTAGAGCCTTTAAGAGAATCCTTTTTCTCCAAAATAAATCTCAAGTTTGTTCAACTTAGATCATCTGACATTTTATTTTTCTATCAACATATGAAAGAAGATTTCCTCCACAGAAAGTTTTTCCTTAATTTTGTTATTTGTACCATCATTCCCTTAGTCTTAAACCCTTCACATTTTAATCTTATCTTTGATTCCCTCCCCCCCAACTGTGTTTCTTTTTTTAAAAATTGGGGCATCTTATTCAAAATAGTGAAATGTTTTTTTTTGTTTTGTTTTTTTTAAGAGACAGGGTCTCAAATATATTACCCAAGATGACCTTGAACTCCTCCTAGATATAAGCAATTTTCCTGCTTTAGCTTCTCAAGTGGCTAGGACTATAGGAATGGGCCATCACACCTGGCCTTCTCTATCTTTCTAGTCAGTCCCTTAGCAAGTTCTGCCAGATTTTTCCTACTGATATTTCTTGCATGAATTCCTTCATATTCCAAATGTGAGGTAAAAGATAACGTGTTTGAGATGCAGGGGTAAAATGCCAGTGTAAAGCACAGCTAGGAAATGTAGGTTTTGAGCAATGAATGGCTATTTCTGATATATGTTTGGAGATATATGTTTGGGACCCAAAAAGGCAGAAATGATGGCAGAAGCTATGGGAGTAAATAAGGTCCCTCAGGAACACGAGGGCACTCAACAGGGCAAGGGGAAGAATCTGGAAAATCAAACCAAAATCATTAAAGATCTGGCTTACTTAAATGTTTCCTGATTCATTGTTTTCCAATAGGTTGTCTGATATATCACTTGATAATCCTCACACTGAATCATACTACGTACCTCTAGGTGATGATATAAACATTATACTTTAGGACTTTCTTCACTCCCCTCCCCTCCTGGCTTTAAATAGGTCTTTGGGACCCAAACATCGTTTGCTTTTACTTGGCTCAATTTTTTTTCCTTCCAGCTGTGTTGGGGATAGAACTCAGGGCATCATACATACTGGCAAGCATTCTACTACTGAGTCACGTCCCCAGCCCTTATCTGGCTCCAAACCCTACATACTAAGCACTCATACCAAACTCTCCCAGAACTGCATCTTACTTCCTACTTTTAATATTCTAATTTACTAATATTACTACAGCAATATTAGTAAATTAGAATATTAACACGAAATTAGATTATTTAGTAAAAACATGACAATACTAGAGTTCTGTTTATACAAGTTATATGATATGGGAATCCACTTGCTTTTAAAGGGAAAAAAGACACAATGTTTGATAAAAACTCATTTTAATGACTATAGCAAGAAGAAAAATAAAAACTTTGTAATTCCTATGCTGCAGAGATACAAATCTTTTCACCCCTGAAGGCTTACCTCATGTCAATTACTTGACTAATGACAACACTGGGCTGAGATGCTTTTCCTTCGGCAATATCGTACAGAAAAAGTTTGAAGTCACAAACCACAGCAAGTGCTCTCTGCCATCCTTTCTTCACTCCAGCTGGCTTAGGGATCTTTCAGAAAGGAAAACAAACAAACACATCAAATGAAAGTGGCAATCAAAGCCTTTTAAATTACATATGAAACTGTAAGGTGAAAACCTAACGAGAATGTACAAAAGTCTGTCACTTTGGTAAAGTAAATGGGACACATATCATTAATAACATTAAGAGAAAAAGTGAGAACATATTCTTCAAATACTATCATCTTTTAATGAAAGACTATTAAAAAGAATCATTTTAACTTTTGCTGGTAATTCATTAAAATGACATTCATGGTTTCTTTCTTTTCTTCTCCTAAAAAAGCAAAGCGTCAAAATTGGTAGTAAGATAAAATTCAGCTTACAATGTTGTGGGAAGCCGTTCTTGCACGTGATTGAGCTACCTCCCTGGCTGGGTGTGAGGCGTTCAGACCAGCTGTGTCAGAGCTTTTCCCCACCCTTTCCAGGTGCGAGGGCTTGTCCCTGTGGGGGTGTGACTGACCACTGACCTAAAAACCAATCACTGACCCTGACCTTGGAATGCTGTCCCCCTCGACCTTCATTGGATGGAATTTTCCCCTGAATTTTTTTGTTCTCCAATAAAAGCTCCCTCTCTGGCATGCCTCTCTCTCTTTTGCTGGTCTCTTGTGTAAACCTCGCTACTGCCAGGTGGCTAGAGGCAGGAGCTGGGAGGGGCCGTCTCTGAGCTGGGCAAGAGAAAAGGTAAATTGAGTGTTATGTGTCTTTAATTTGAACTCACTAGTTAACTTCTATGTTTCGAACCTCTAGTATGAAGCTAGCGGCGGCAGAACAATGTAAATACTACTCAAATCAAGTAAGATTATTATTTGATAATATCTTGTAATTCATAACCATACAGTACCTCTTTGGCAAGACCAAAGGCCAAAGACTCCTTTATGGTGATTTCAACCTCTCTTCATTATAAAATAGGGATAATATAGAAAAGTTTGTGACATTTTAGAATTTATTTCCAAGAAAAGACTAGGTTTTCATTTTCAAATTGTTCTGCTGGACTGGATGACATAAAATTATTAGATGAATTTTGTTCATTTCATTTTTTTGTCAAATGTTATGTTCATAAATGACTTGATTTTATTTAAACTCATTCATAATCTTAAAACATGCATCTAAATCTGAACTAAGGATACTTACCCTGACATGACCTTCATATGCTGTTCCTATTCCTTTCTGTGGATCAATACCCAGGGGACCTTTTGTCTGCTCAGGGGGAACTGGACAAGCGGTTGGAGCCTTATTTACACAAGTTATATGACATGAGAATCCACACACTTTTGAAAGGAAAAAAAGACAATGTATGTTAAAAATTCATTTTAATGACTACAACAATTACAAGTCACAGTGCACTAACTGTATGCAAGGTGTTCTGTTAAATAAATGCTTATTTTTTATTTTAAACACCATTTCAAATGATGTCTTATCATTTGAAAAGCTACTCATCTGCTTACCAATAAGGATTTTAATGAGAAATAGTAAATATTTTTATCATTGGTAATCCTATTATTCTCTGTTAACATTAGTGGTCAAAGGGGGAAGCAACAGATAAGAAAAATATTTAACCCTGTGCACAAAATGATTGGTTAAACTTATAATTGCTAAAAATTTGGTTTCTGGAACTATTTCTATTTCTTCGTCTTACTGCAACTTGGTATCTGTTCTGAAATGTATCTTGCAAGAGTCATTAATGGACATTAAGCTACTTGACATCTCTGCTACATGTGGCAAGTTTTACCAATCTTCTTAAAAATAGAATTTTTCAATGAATTTAAAAAAGGTATAAGCTAATGGTAAATTTTTGGAGTTACTAATATCCCATATACTTACACTACCACTAGATAATAACTGTTAATTTTACTGAGCATCTTAAATCTTTCTATGACAATATAAAAGGGGTATAGTTTTTAATCCCTATGTAACCTATGCCCTGAGTCACAGAGCTTGGAAGTGACAGTGGTAGAATTTCAAAATCATACAGTTTTGCTCAGATCCTGCATACCTTACCACTAACAGTATTGCCATGATTCCTCTATTTGATACTTACACAGTGAACTGGAGATTCTAAGACAAGATTATAAATAAAAATGAACTCATACTTTTCAATGAGACTTGGTTGGGTAAAAATTACAGGTAAAATTAAAAAAAAAAAAAACAAGTTTTTTGGCAAGGGGTATAGACTACGATTATAATTCCTACTCCTAAGGTGGTTCCTGGAGAAAACTAGGGAAAGAATAAGAGAGGAACTAAAGGATATCACCGTGAGAATACTTAAACTTGAGAGAAATGGATTATATATCACTGATGGACATTATGAAATGAACAGAAAGGCAGGATGAATTAGCATTGACTTCCAAAAACTACAAACTTCTCAATTTGTTCCCCCAAACCCCATGTATTGGAGACTGAACCCAGGGCACTCTACCACTGATCTAAATCCTGGGCCTTTTAAAAAATATATTTCGAGAGATGGGTCTGGCAAAGAAGTTGGTGATCCTCTGGTTCAGCTTCCCAAGTAGTTGGGATTAGAGGCATGCACCACTGTGCCAGGCTATCATTTGCTTTTAAGTAGAATATAAGTATTTATAATTCATTTTGCTAATAAGGAAAAAATCTCATTTCCCAAGGGCAGCTGAAACAACAAAATAAGTATCTATAAACTAGATTTAATTTTAATCAACAAGGATGAAATAAAAATGATAGTAACCATTAGAGACTATAACACATTACCACAACATTTACAAAAGCTTGTTAGACAAAGGCTTGGGATAGTCTAATGCACTTTCATGGCTTTATAAGGTAGACCTCAAGGAGTTGAGGGAAAAAAAGGCACAATTTCATGGCACAAGACTCCAGAAGTAAGAGAGACTGGGAAGAGTCCCCAAATTCCTACTATGGAATTACAAGTAATTCTGATGCATAAAAAAAATAACCAGGTAGCTTCCCAGAATTCAGGGAATTCAGCACCTGAAATGGAGAGTGTCTATATTCCATCAAAATTCCCTTTCAAAACTAAAAGCAGAAAAGCTAAGAAACAGAAACTAGTATTAGAATTTGAATTAGCAACTATCTTCTTGTCTTTTTCATAAGATATACCACTAGTACCTATATAAGGTGGTTTTACCTATATAAGGTGGTTTTGTAGTGGCAAGTCTCATCTGATTAAGAATTCACATTTCTGTGCACAGGGAAAGATAGTGGAATGAGATGGACATCATTACCCTAGGTACATGTATGACTGCACATATGGTGTGATGCTATATCGTGTACAATCATAGAAATGTAAAGTTGTGCTGCAATTGTGTATGAGTCAAAATGTAATCTGCTGTCATATATAACTGAAATAAATACATTTATGAAAAGTTAAAAAAGAATTCATATTTCTAAAAGTTACAAATGATAATATATCCCATTATCATTTAAATCATTTTCATTTTAGAGATCTAGGAAACATAAAGCAGTACTCAAACAAATAGGCTTGGTTTTTCTATTTAAATGACCCCTGATCCTTTCACCCCCATCTCTCAAAATGTGAGCTCCACAAGTGTAGCGCCTTTGTCCTTCTCACTAAGCATTCCAAAAATACATGACAGGTAAACCAATGAATGAGGAGGAAAAACTTCTACTATTAATACTAGGAATAAACTTTCTTTTAAGGCATAGTGGCAAATATTTAATTTCTGAAAATAAACAATGTTAAAATTGAATGAATATATCCAAGGATAACTTCCATGGCTTCTGTCATATAGGTTAATGGTTTGGGGGGCCATTAATTTACCCAAATAATGAAACAAAGATGAATTAAACATATTCAAATATATCTCCCCTAAAAAATATTTCTAGGGAACATTTGTCTAATTTCTCTAATATCCAAAAGACTTTAGCAAGTGCTCAGTTATATTATCTATATTCTTGTTATCCAGAGAAAAGCAAATGATTAAATGAAACAAACATTTGTATGTCTTTTAAAGAGAATAAAGTTACTCAATTACAATTTAGGTAGAAATGTTATAACAAAGTGGTGCTCAAACAAGTCAATTTTTCCAATTTTTCTTACCTTCACATGAGCAACCCTGTCTTATCAAACCCACCATCAAAGAGGTACACTGATGACATTTAGTAGGAATAGTGAATGATTTTACAAAAAACTGGTGAGTCTTGCGCTGCAAAACATTGATAAAAAAACATACATTGATTATTTAAAGATTTCTGTAATGTTAGTCACTATGTCCCATAACAATCTACTAGAATGTTTACTAAACAGAAGAATGAATTCTTTCCATTTCTCATAGCATCTTCTCACAGCTTATACTCTTTAAACAATTATATGAGATAATACTAAGTTAGAACAAGCTAAAATAATCTAAGTTAAATGATAATTGCTTTTGAATATCATTTGGAAAGTGTATAAAGCAGACAGTAGCATTTTGGTTTTGCTCATAAGTCTTGGCTTCAGAATTTCTGTAAATTCTTTGAATTATTCTTGGCAGAGTTAAGTAAAATTTTAATAATTTATATACACAAATATAGTTTTAATATGCTTTATACCTTCTTAGAAGAATAAAAAGAATCATGTAAACCTCTTATTTCTACTGTAAATCATGTATTTCATCTTCTGCAAGCAAGAACAAATGAGAGGCTATAAGTATCTGTTTCTTCTCATGGAAAGAGGCAGTATAACTTATACTTGAGCTGATAAAAATACACACCTATTATACCATAGACAGATGTCAGCCTGAAATTTCTTACTGAAAGTCTAGTAAAGATCTCTGTCTTGATTGCAACAAATTTTTTTCTTTTGTGGTACTTAGTATTAAACTTAGGACCTTGCAATGAACTATATCCCCAGCCCTTCTGTCTTGCTTGATGTACACAGTGACAACCCAATATAGACTTTATCTCCTTGGAATATTCTTTTCTTCTCCAAATTATTTCTTAGCATGTTTTAAAAGAATTACAATAATAACTCTTCCTTTACACAACTGTATAAACTCAGGAGCAAATCACTTCAGTCCTCTGTATCTCACTTTCCTTATATATAAAATAGGGTCAATAATAATATCTACTTCATGAGGTGGCTAAATGAGTATAAATATTAAATATTTATAAATATTACTTATAAATGAAGACTTTCAAACAATGACTGACACAACATAGTAAGTACTTAAAAACATTTACTTCTTTATGAAAACAAAATTCACTAATTATTCATGTGTAATTTATACTACTCTTTATAGTCCAATAAATGTCAGTAATGATGAAAGTTATGAAGTACTTAGTTTAGGTTAATATATTAGAAAAATCACAAAGAATATTCAAAACTGAAATTTAAGTAAAAATAAATTCTGGTGACTAGGAACGTAGCTCAGTGGTAGAGTACTTGCCTAACATGCACTAGGCAGTGTGCTCCCAAGCACCGCCCCAAAATCCCAAAGCCAAATCAAAAGCTGCTCTCTTCAACTGGGATAGGATTTTTTTTACAAGACAAGTTTAAAAAAAGAAGCAGTAGATTATCTTTTACATAGAATGATGTAACTACCATTATTAAGGGAATAAAGTGTATAATAAATATAAAACTTTTAGGTAGTTTCTTGGGTATTGTGAAGAATTATCAACAAATTTTGTCACAGCCACAGTTATTTATTTATTTATTTTTGGCTGTTACTTCAAATATGTCTGAAAGAATTAATCAATTGCTCAAAGTAACTCCATTCTTTTTCTTCTTTTTTTAAAAGACTACCAAGACATCTCCCTCTTCCCCAGAGATCTATTCAGGCTGTCACAAATCTGAGTAAAGTGGTGCTAACAAAAAACAATGTTTTGGCAGAGAAATAACTTTGGGTGACCAACCATCCAACTGGCAGGTGCTGATTAAATTATGGGAGAAGGTGGGTTAGTTTAACTATTAAAGATTAAGGGGTCCATGTTTCACTAATCTCAACTGAGAATAGTATTAACATACAACTTAATTTAAAAATCATTATTCTGATGTCATCAATCTTTAGGCAATACACAATAGTACTATGGTTTTGTTTTAGGGGAGGGGTGAAGAACAGAAACAGAAAGAAACATGAATTTAATCCTACATTAAATTTAATAGATTATTTTGTTTCTGATCTAAGATCCCTGTTCCCTGCATCCTGGTAAATACTTGATTTCTGATAATTCTTGAAAGGATAGTTAGAAGAGGGGAAAAAATTGGGTAAAAAAGGCATTAAATTTTTCAGTTATGGAAAAATGTATTATTCTGGAACTTCTATTTGTTGAATACTGATTTCTTATATTATTTTCTCTTCTAATTTCTATGTGACCTTTTACAATATTTTATTTTTCCTTTTTTTTTGTGTGTGGTGGTACTAGGGATTAAATCCAGGGTGGGGTGCTCTACCACTGAGCTACATCCCCAGTCCTTTATATTTTTCATTTTGAGAAAAGGTCTTGCCAAGTTGTCCAGGCTGGGCTTGAAGTTGCAACACTTCTGCCTCAGCCTCCCAAGATGCTGAGATTATAGGTGCGTGCCACTGTGCCTGGATAAAATACTTTCTAAGAGATTTTCTAAAATTTATCTCCTAATTCATTTACTGAATTTTTAAAATGGTTAACATTTTTAATTTTCCAAAGACCTCATGTTCTCTGATAGTTATTTTTGTTTTCTTCTGCTTTCTTCACAGCTTCTTTTTCCTCTAACAAGAAACATACAAAAACATTGTTCTGCTTTTTCTTTTGTTAGAGAATTTACTAAAATGCTTGCTGATTCTTGAGAATCTGAACATTTTTAAGAGACAGAAAAAAAGCTATATAGAAAGGGGTATATGTGTGTGTGTATGTGAGAGAGAGTGTGCATGCACTTATTTGTGTTTGTTTAGAGACGATCTGCCATCTCACGGAGGACCCTCAAATGCCATTATCTATAGATACTTTCTGGGCCTATTTCTTTAGAGAATCTACTGGTATCGTCCAAGGAGAGAGGGGAGAGGGGGTATAACCCCAACTGCCAATATCTTGGGAGATAAGCAAGGGAAAGGCATTTGGAATCTTATCGTTTTGTTTGTAGACTTTTTATTTAAAAGTCTCATTATTTGTGATTTGATATTTTTCTCTTTCACCAAATCCAGTGTTGCTGAGTTTGTGTGGTCTCTTTGGTTTAAGTGATCTACAAAATTAACATATGGCAGGGTAGAATAGTTATGTTTTGAGAGCTAGTTTAATGCTTCATGTGGATTTTAAATCATTCTGAAGTAAAAGCTATTTTTCCTTTTCTTTTTTTGGGGGGGTGGGGTGGGTGGTGGTAGTGGGAATTGAACCCAGGGATGCTTCACCACTGAGCTATATCCCCAGCCCTTTTAATATTTTATTTTGAGACAGTGTCTCACTAAGTTGCTGAGGCTAGCCTTGAACTGGTGGATCCTACTTGCCTTAGCCTGAGTAGCTGGGATTAAAGGCATGCACCACGAAGACCAGCTTTTTGAACCATTCTGTATTTAACTCTAGACCCTTATTTCACCTCCTGACTCTCAAATTACCTGGTGTCTTATTATTTTGATTATCTGAAACTTGTTTTTTAGTACATTCCTCAGAAAGACTGTGGAACCATTTCTTGAACTCTTACACATTTTTCTGCGGCTTTGTATTTTGGAGGATGCTTTTGTATCCTTCAAATCTTAGGGCAATAGCTCAGTCATAAAAATAAAGACAAAACCACCACAACAAAACAACTTAGCTTCTTAAAACTCTGACTCATAATTTCCTTGGGTATATTAAATATATCATTCCATTGTTTTCCAGCATAGTGAAGCCACTGAAAAAAAATCTGATGATAATCTCATCATCAGATGAGACCAATCTTCTTGCCTTTTAATGCATTTCTTTAAAGACCAATAACAGGGGCTGGGCCTGTAGCTCAGTGGTAAAGTGCCTGCCTAGCATGCATGAGGCCCTGGGTTCAATCCTCAGCACCACATAAAAATAAATAAAGATACTATGTCCATCTATATCTAAAAAAAATTTTTTTTTTTAAAAAGACCAGTAACAGTTCACTAGAATATGTTATTTTGGTTGATTTTCTCAGCTATGCTGCACATCCTGGTATTTGAGATGCAAGTCTTCTTTTGTTTGGGGAAATTTTCTTGACTAACTTTTTAGTATTTTCCATTGCTTCATGTTCTTTTTCTGGGACTCCTATTATAAAAAATGTTGGCTCTTCTTTGCCAGTATTTCTATTGCTTTTTCTTAAATTTTTTTAACCTCTTTGCTCATTTCTTCGCTAAATTAAAAAATCCACCTCTTTATCTATTTGTTGCAAGGCATTACCTGCTAGTATATTTGTTCTTGAATTCCCTGTACACTAGCCTATATTCCTGAAATCACATTGTATTTTAAATTGTAGTTTTCTCCTAAATGCTTTATCTTCTTTTTTCAAATTTTCCTTTTTCCAAACAACCTTCGCTTTTAAGGTTTAGAATTCTCATTTTTTAAATTTAAGTTTCTATTATTTGAGAAATAAATTTCTTTTGAAATATTCACTGTAATTCCCCCTTTCTTCTCTTTTTTGGTTCTGGGGTTAAACACAAAATCTTAACACTGATGGATGCTTCCATACTCCACTATCCACTAATTTTCACTGGTTTTGTAGAGACAAACCACCTTTTTGTTGGTTGTAGATGGACAGAATACTTTATTTTATTTATTTTAATATGGTGCTTCTAGGGTTGAACTCAGTGTCTCATACATGCTAGGCAAGCGCTCTGCCACTGAGCCACAACCCCAACCTGAAACAAACACTCTTTGATTGGCAGACTTTTATTTTTTATTAAGATATTTTATACCTTATTCTTTTTAAAATGTAATCATTTTGTGTGAGATTTAACTGTAACTCTTTTCAGTTGATCAGTTTTACCTTTTACTTTCCCTATCCTTTTATGTGGAAATGGTGGGCCAGGATAGTTTTTGTAGCTCCATAGCTCTAGATTTCCTTTTCTGTTATTTTCATAAAATGAAAAAAACATATACATGATATCATACTTTCTAAGATCTTTAATCCCTCTTCTTATCTATTTGGACTCCCACTTTTCTTCCCTGTCCTATTCAATTTTGAATCTACATCCAACTATTTCTCCATAGGACAGGACTTTGATCTGGAAAGGCATTTCTAATTTGTTAGTTTTGAGAACTCCTAACTTTAGCACTGCCAGATCTTCCTCTACTTATATCTCCTTATGCTTACTGTGGAATGGCACTTGAGAAGTCCCTTCCCAGTTTCTGCTACTGTCCTCAGATCTTTCCAGGAGTACTTAATGCTCCCTTGATAGTTTTGTAGCCAAGGGTCATTATAAGTCACTTCGCTTTATCTCAATTTACACAAATATAACTTTAAATACCACAAAGGTCTTATAGATGCTGGTGATTTGTTCCTATTCATTTACATTTTAGAGTGTATGGGAAAATAACTTAATCTATACTTGTTTGTTTTATGTGTAGTATACACCTGTGTCCTTTACTTTCCTTTTCTACCTTTCATATGTCTTTACTTTAAGCTATGCAGCTTATACCTGGTTCTTTTGGCATGTTCACTCTGGGGAAAGGCAGCTGCCATGTAGGAAGACTAGCATTGTCATACTGGAAAGACTGTAAGCGGTTGAATGACAGCCAGCATCAAATGCCTACCCCTGGAAGTGAACAATTCAGCTCAGTTGAATCTTCAGATGATGGCAGTCTCAGCTGTTATTTAACTACAACTACATGGAAAGCTCCTAATAAGAGCTTCCCAGATGAATCATTCCAAAATTCATAGCCCAATAATTTGTAAGCATAAAAAGGGGTTGTTTCAATACATTAAGATTTCAGATAATTTGCTGGATGTGGTGTGGCACACCTGTATTCCCAGTGGCTTGGGAGGCTGAGGCTGTGGCAGGAGAATCGCAAGTTCTGCTAAGCAACTCAGTGAGATCCTGTCTCTAAAGAAAATACAAAATAAGGCTGGGGAGTGTGACTCAGTGCTTGAGTGCCCCTGAGTTTGATCCCCTGTACCAAAAAAAAAAAAAAAAAAAAAAAAAAAAGATTTCAGACAATTTATTACACAGCAGGAGTACCAAGTCATCATGTTTTCCTTTCTTTACTCTTTTTCAATGACTATTTTCTTTCAAAGGTTTAAAATTTATACTTTTTACTTACTAATATCCTATTTATTCCCTTCCACTTATGAAGATCCATGCTTATGCTTAATTTCCTTACTGAGTTACCAACATTTATTTATTTGACATTTTATATGATATTACAAGTATAAATATACTTACAATGTATATTATGCCAATAATCATTCTAGGTTCTTTACAAACATTAAATTTGTCTAAAACTCATAAACTATTCAATTAAATGGGTATTAGTATTGTCTCTTTTTTTTGAATGAGGAAATGAAAGCACAGAAAGGTAAACAACATGCTCGAGATTATACTGCTAATTTAGGAAGTCTGGCCAGGGATTTAAAATGTTAACCACCAGACAATATTATCTATGCACTTTTTCTCCAGGCAAGACCAATACATGCTCACTCCACACTGTGTTTCTATTTACATTATTTTTGGACTGTTTTGAATGTACATCTGCTTTTCCTTTGGTTTCTTTGCTTTTAGAGGCCATAGTAAATTTCTCTAAGATTTGAACGTACATTTGCTTTTTCTTGGGTTTTTTACTCTCTTGATGGGCATAGATTATTCAGTTTATGGTCTTTCTTTTATACCACTTATACTTTTTTCAGATTTGCTTATCTTTCTCTCATTCTATGAATTATCCAAGGTTTATGTTTTTGAGAGGTAATTCATTTCAGTTTTCCAATTTCTAGAATTTCTTTGTAGGAATCTGAGATAAGCAACTAAATCTTTATGTTCTATTCTCTATAATACACGTGTCATAGTCAATTGACTAGAATGAAGGGAGGGGGGAAGCAAGATAGATTCAACTGAGTTTTTCACTAAACATTTCTCTTTCTCAGTGCTTTGTTTAATAACCCCAATTCCAGATCCTTGCATTGGAGACCTCAACTTAATGTTTTCCTCAGGCAACAATCCAGAGTAGTTTCTGGAAGAAGCATTACACCTTACTTAGACTTTAAAACACTGAATTTAGGACAGGAAAAAAAAATCCAAAAACTGTACAAGCTTCCTACCTTTCTCATTAGTGATTATTTCCATTCATAGTGAGTTTATTTTCCTTCCATGCTTTTATGTTTTTAACTTTGAAGAAATCAGAATTAAAAGCATAGTATATAAACAAGCAGAAGAAATCCACTATCCTTTTTTTTTTTTTTTTGAACAAATTATGTTTATAACTAGAGTACCTTAGGTGGAAAACCAGTTGAACCAGGGCATCCCTTTTTCCTTAAGGTTGGTGTGTGAACTGGAAGTGGAGCACTGTCTGCAATCTGAACCCAGAGGCAAAAAGGGAAACAAATGTCATGAAACATTTCATTTATCTTAAACATAACTAGAAAGAAACCAAAGTAAATAGAAATGAACAAACATCAATTAGGCAAAGAGTTCTACTAGTTAATCTCATCGAAGTTGAAATTCTCAGAGTACTGATCATTTAAATTTTAGTCTGCAATGTCTACAATGAAATTTGTTCAATTAGTAAAAAATATTTCAGTCTGGAAACTTTAAAATGAATAATTTGGAAAAGAAAATCCATGGAAGAAAACCAAACCAAATCAAACAATCAGAGCATGTAACCTACATATAAAAATGAGGATACTAACTTTCCATTCCTATGAATTTGATATATTCACCCTAAAAAGTATCTGATTTTTATTTATAATAAAAATATTTAGAAGATTCCTTTTTACTACTTGACCTCCATTTTTAGAACATACATTAAATGTGTGGAATACAAATAACTCTGTGGATTTGAATATACAGGTAGAGATTAGTGGGATTTTGTAAAAAATTAATTACCAAATAAGAGAGTTAAATTATTTAAAATTACTGGAATTCTGAATTTAAGACAAATTTAGTTACAAACTATTATCTTTATTAGTAGGCAAACAGTTTTATGAGGTATTATTGTAAGCTATTTCTTTGAAATAAATCATTGATTTATTGGATGTTATTGGGTGTGGGGGACATGACAAAGAGACAGTACTTAATTAGAAAAATATTAAAAAAAGAGGAGAAATAACATCCTTTTAGAATATTAAGCAAGTAAGAAAATAATTTATATCCTAATTTTAATATTTAAAAATATTAGGAGAAAAACTGATGGTCTCTCTTTGTCTTTATTACATATAACTTCCAAAAATAGACTATTTGACATTCAGTATAGCCTTAAAATGGAATTCAGTGTGTTTTTTAGGATCTTCTGTTTAACTGTGAGTTTAGTTCTAACTGGAACTATATTTCCTTTTGAATAGCTTGAACCCAATCTATAATTCAACATTTGAGAGGATAAATTTAAAAGATAAGAAAGTAAACACTGAAAAATCTATGTAAAAGTTAATGAAAAAAATTAACAGTAAACAAAGCTTTCATTAGAATTCTATAGAAAGTTCAAGAAATGTTTGTAAATTAAAAAAGAGTCAAGCAAAGGTGCTGGATACAAGATCAACAGAGTTTAAAAAGATAAGCAATGCCTAACTTTTAAAATAAAGTATTTAAAAAGATCCCACTCATCAGAGTAATAAAATTTTAAGATACCTAGGAACAAATCTAATAACATGGAGTACACTGAAAGTAATGCAACCTTATTTAAGGATGTAAAAGAATAACCAACAACTATGCATATCATGTTCATAGACAGAAATGCCCAATATCATGAAGATGTCAATTCTTTTCAAATAAATCTATAAGTTCAATGCAATTCCAATCAAAAGCCCCACGTGGAACTTGACAAGTTAATACTAAAAGTAATATGGAAAACCAAAGGGTCAAGATGAAAAAGAATCAAGTTTTTTTTGGGTGGCTCACTACACCAGGTATCAAGAATCATTTTAGGGCTAGAATAAATAAGATGATTTGGTATCAGTGCAGAAATAAGCAAAAGGGCAGTGAAAGAGAAAGAGAACTCCAACGGACCCATGCACACAAAGTAGTGTTGGGTTTACAAATCAAAGGAGGGGAAATATAAAAGAGCCAGATGTTGATATGGGAAAAACAGATTAGAATCCCACTTTCTATTATATATAACAATATATTTCAGTTTCATTAAGGTCATAAAAGCCAAAGTTTTAAACTCCTAGAAGAAAATATGGAAGAAAATCTTCATAATCTCTGCACTGCAAAAGAACTGCTTTAAAAAAACTGCATAAAAAAGCATAACAAAGGAAATGACTGATAAAACTGACTACTTTAAAATGAAAATTTCTGCAACACAAAAGATACCACAAATAAAATTTTAAAATAAACCAAGACCAGAAGAAAATATTTACAATGCATATAGCCAGCAAAGAATTAGTATCCAGAATATATAAAGGACATTTATAAAACAAGAGGAAAAGTAAGTCAGTAGAACAATGGACAAAAACTTTAACAGGCAAATCATCCATAGCCAACAAACATATATAAAAAGAGATGCTTTTCTAAAAAGATATATTAGAAAACAGAAACAAGTTAAAACAAAAAATGTTACTTTATACCTATTAGATTGACAAAAGTTAATAGTTGATAGTACCAAGCTATGGCAAGGATGTGGGCAAACAGGGAACTCTCACACACTGCTGGTAGGAATGAAAACAGGTTCAACCACTATGGAAAACAGTTTGGTAAGATCTAGTTAAAACCAAAAATACATAAAGCCCAGTAACTCCACTTCTATGTATAAATGCTAAACAAACTGCACATTTGCAAAGGTAGATAGATATTAAGAGGTTCACTTCAGTGCTGATTATAGTAATAAAAAACTGGAAGCCACTTAAATATCCAACAACAGAAGAATGGATAAATAGCTGTGGCATATTCAAACAATGAAACATTATGCCGCAGTTATAATGAATGAACTAAATGGACATGTATCTGTATGATTAAACCTCAATGCATACTTATGAATGAAAAAAGATGCAGAAGGACACAGTTAACATTTCTGCAAATTTTAAATACATGACAAACATTACCATATATTGTTTATGGATACAAATGAAATAAACAGGTGAAACCAAGGAAGGGGATATGCATCCAGATTCTAGATATTGAGATATGTCTGGGAAAAAGAGAGGAATGGTGTAAGGGAAGACATTAACTGGTTCTGGAATATTTTTTGTTTGAAAAAAAAAAACTGAAAAAGTAAAATAAAATATTCTTATCTGTTAAATCTGTGGGTGATAGGTATTTATTATATTATTCTGTGTATGCCTGAAAGGTTTTATCATTAAAATAAAATTCCATTAACCCCAAATATTGAAACAATTGTAACTAAAAATACTGAGGGTCTCATTAACCAGTCTGAGGACTGTATCATAGTTGGGAAACAAGTCATGACTACAGTTCACACTTAAGACAACTTCTTTCACTGAACCATCTGCTCCTGTGGATAGCTAGACACAGTTTTGTTGATCACAAAGAGGGAAGCAAATGAGCTCTGCAGGAACTGTGATGCTAAGTGAAAAACTAGGACTGTGTCACAAGGCAGGTAGCATGAACTGAGACACAACATATTGTCTAACCTGTTCAGGAAATTGTCTCTGGTGAGAAAACCAGCCAATTGGCTGTTAAAAGCCATGGCTCGACATGAAGTGTAAAAACAACACATTTTTTGGTACTATTAAAGGGCACGGCACAGTTTAGTTAAGTGAGTACCTGAGGTGGATTCAGCAGTCAGAATAAAATATTCAGCTGCCAGCAGTGGCAATTTTATTTTTAAGCCGTGCTTATGATGTAACAGATTAGTTATATCATGGTTTATTAAGTTTATTATAAGAATTAAAATGTGAGAATGTCACCTGCATTGCATATACCTTCAGAATTTGTATCTGTTAATTCTAACCTTTACATAAAACTATCCTGTGTTCCACATAGTTCTATACCATGTAGAGAGATTACTATTAGAGTTATATTTTTGTCTATTTTAGGTAAGTTTAGGGGAACAATTTTCTAATTCATTTTCTATTCCTAGCTACATTATCATTTAAAAGTAATGACCTCTAGGGCCGGGGTTATGGCTCCGTGGTAGAGCGCCTGCTGAGCATGCATGAGGCACAGGGCTGGATTCCAACACCACATAAAAATAAAAAAAAATAAAGGTATCGTGTTCATCTACAACTAAAAAAAAAAATTAAAAAAATAATGACCTCTAACTTATTACAAAATCTATTTGATTAACAGAAGATAGATTTCACTTTTTTTCCCCCTCCAATTCCCTTTTCTGACACAAGTGTAAGAAAAGGGGAGCAAGGTTGCTCCAATGAAGCACCTTAACTGGCTCAGCTTCACTAGATATGGAAGGAGATGTGGACCTTGACTGGATGTTTACATACTTGATGCTCAGGTTCCATACATAAGTGTTTTCAATGGGATCAGTCTAGGAAAATAAGTCAGGAAAAACAAAAACCCAAGAAATCACTTTTAAATATTGTGTAGCTCTTAGAAAATTCCTATAAGGCATGATTATGACAACATTTCTTGAAAACGGAGGACAATAACTTCAGTTTGAATATTCATGTTAGGGATGTGATATTTCATTACACAAAAGCATAACCACTAGCTTTAATATAATCAAGGGTTAAGATAACAGAAATTAACCAAAGGCATGGTGATAACCTTCATTGCTCATCTCTTACTCTGAGCACTGATGTCTACTGCATAATCAATATTTGTATTCCTTATAGAACTTTTTATTTCACAAAGCAAATCATACATGTGAAGTAAATGTTGCAGATCAGACATAATTTTGTCCTTGATAAAAATTAAATTTGTTCTTTTATTAGACATTAGTGAAAGCAAAAGAAGCTAATATCAGCTTTGTGCTTGTCACTTAAGTCAATTCCTTTTAATTTTGCAGCAGCAGAAATCCAGCACTTATACTCACTTATACCCTTTAAGCCAAGTACTTTCAGAAATTGAAACGCTTTGAATTAAAATTTAAAAGATGTTATAAAGCACAATGATTGAGCATCTAGTCCATTTGGCAATTTTCAAAATTACTAGGATTGAGTTTTTAAAATAAAAGGCAATAAAGACAATTTGGAAAACAGGTTAGGAAATTTGTTTTAAATATATTGTATAAAAAGAACAATGCTATGATCAGAAGTTACAAATCAATAAAAAAACAGCATCAGAGGCTAAGTATTTTAAGTACATAAAATTATTTTCCCTTCTTATAACTGTCACTGATGGATGATTTAGACGCAGTCATGAGACTATGTCTTGACAAAACAGAATTATTCGATGATTAAAAGAATAATGACCCTTAAATTTGAAACTAAGTGAATAAAACTTC